GGCGCTAGCCGGTTGATTAGAGGAGGCATCAGCAGTTGCACCTTTGCTGCTGCCTTCACCAGCATTAGAGGGGGTTCGCGTGGTTGCATCGGCGTCATTGGCTGTAGTTTTAGATGCTGTTTTCCGCCTTCCCCTGCTCTGTAAGCCAGACCTGCTGCACCCGCTACTATGCCCACTCCCACTGCAAGCGACCACGCCACCGCCTTCCCCTCCCCCATTACCCTCACTGTTCCCACCACCATAACCCTCACGCTTCCAACCATCATCCCCACCCGCATTTGGCCCAACCTGACCCCCACCACCACTCCCACTGCCACCACCCCTCCCAACACGACCATCCCCCGCTGCCAGACCCCCTTCCACTGCCTCCTTTGCCCCTGCCGCCCCCAGAACTATTCGCATCGGCAGGAACTTTCTTTCTACCTTAAATTCCTCCTCCTCGTCCTCCTCTCCTTCCTCCTCCTTCCACTCTCGCTTTCTCCCTCTCTTCTTACCCCTCTCTTCCTTGTTGCTTCTCCAAATCCCTCCCACTGTACCCTCCAGCCTTGAGTTCTCAACAGGCCGCCCCTCTCTCCTGCTTACTGCATTATCCATCCTCTCCCATTTGACCTCCCTTCCCTCCTTGCTTCCCCGCACCTCTCCTATAAAACAAGCAGCAATTGAAGCGCCACCAGCAGCAGCAGCAGCAGCACCACCACCACCACCACCACCACTGCCACCGCTACCGCCAGCAGTACTATTACCAGCAGCAGGAAGTGCGAGCTGGGCGTTGAAAAGGCAGGGTGCTCGGCGTTTGCTAGCACCGCCGCCACCACTACATTCAGCTTCAGAAGCAGAAGCAGCAGCAGCAGCAGCAGCAGCAACAGCAGCAGCGGTGGCAGTTGCAGGAGCAGCAACAGCACCAGGCTTGCAGGTTGGGTTGAAACCATGAGAAGCTTTAGAAGACACCTGCAGTGAGCCGATTAGCTGCGATGGGCTGTTCAGGTGGGATGCTTGACGGGAAAGGAGAGCTGCAAGGAGGGGGCTAGCAGCAACTGCTGATGCCATGGCAGCCGTAGATGCTGAACGATCAGGAGCAGGGTCAAAGGCAGGCGAAGGAGCAGGAGCAGGACGAGTAGGAGGAGGAGGAGGAACTGAATTGATTGCAGCAGCAACTGCAGCAGCAACAGCTGCTGTAGCAGGAAATGTGGCGGCGTCAGGAATAGCACCAGGAGGGAAAGGAGCAATGGCAGGAGTAGCAGCAGAATCAAAAACAGCAGCAGCAGCAGCAGCAGCAGCAGCAGAATGAGCAGCTGGAGGAGCAGGAGCAGAAGCAGGCGCACTTGGTGCGCCTCCCACAGGCAGATGTTTATGGGAGCATGCAGGTGTGAGGAAACTTGGATTCTGGATGCATGAGCAGGGCATGAGCATGCATGGAAGATGCAGCACGGGCGCCCGGTTGCATGCGAAAATGGGCTGCTCCGGTCCTGGATTCAACTGAACCACCTTCCACTCCTCTTGATCCTCCTCCCAGCTCTAACCGGCCTGATGCTGCTGCTGCTGGTGCTGGTTGCATGCGGAAATGGGCTGCTCCACTCCTGGTTCCACTTCTGGTTACCCTTGCTGCTGCTCCAATAGAACTATCTTCTACTCCTCCTTTTAAACCTCCTACTCTTTCGCCTCCTCCTCCTCCTTCTCCTCCTACCTCCACCCATCCTCCTGCCTCTCCTTCCCCTCCTCCCCCCTTCACCCCTTCTCCTCTTCTTCCCCATCGTTCTGACTCCCCCACGCAGCCTCCCTCCCTTTCCACCGCATCGAACCGCACAAGGCCCATCTGCTTCTCGCGTGCCTCAGACTCAGCCCTACTTACCCCCAGCCACGGAATCTCTCTCTTTTGATCAGCCTCCGCATTAGCTGCCGCATTTGCTCCCATCACATGAATTTGCACCTCGTTGTCAGATGTAGCAGTAGGAGCAGGAGGAGCAGGAGGAGCAGGAGGAGCAGGAGGAGCAGGAGGAGCAGGAGGAGGAGGAGCAGGAGGAGCGGGAGGAGCAGGAGGAGAAGGAGCAGCAGCATGAACAGGAGGACGAGCAGCAGAAGCAGGAGACAGGGACAGTGACAAGGAGAGGTCCAGATCTTCCCGGTGTGGATCAGTGCTCTCACACTTGAGTGATGACACAGTTGAGAATGGATGGATTCGATCCGCTTTCCAGGGTGGATTCGTGCTCTCACACTTGAGCAATGACGCATCTTTCACACCGGAAAATGCATCTCTCCTGCTTTCCAGGGCGGAATTTTGAGGCTTCAGCGACCCATCTATCCCATCACCAAGGCAGGCTTTTGAGAAATCTCTCCTGCTTTCCCGGGCAGGTCTTACTGCTGCAAAAAGCTCTCCTTGCTCCCAGCCTGCTGCAGCGGCGGAGCTTGCGCTTGTGTTCTGTACCCTTGGAGAGCTCACAGGCCTAAAAGCTGGAGTGATAGAGGGTCGGGAGTGGATGAGACTTGAGATGCTGATACCATTGCTTCCACCTTCGGCTGATCCTCTTGGGTTTCTCGCTGATCCTGCCTCACCTTCCCCCAGATCTGCTGCTGGTTTTACTCCTCTTGTTCCCCCACTACCTACTGTTCCTCCTATTCCCCCTATCCTTTCTCTCCCTCCTCTCTCTCCTCCACCGTCCCATCCGCGACTTCCTCCAGTTTCTGTGTTTCCTTCTAACGCCCCGGCCCTTTTCAACAATCCACCAGCTGACTCCTCTCCGCCTTCTGCTTCTGAACCACGCCCAGCTACTTTTAGAAAAGCAGCAAGATTTGGCAATGAGGGTGCTTCTGGTACCTCATCCGCACCCGCCCCAGCTGTCCCTTTGCGAAGCTGTGCTCCCAGAGCAGATGGGGCAGGCAACGCTGCTGCGCCTGCACCGAAGAATCCATCTCTTGCTGCGCCAGCATCGAAGAATCCATCTCTTGCTGCGCCAGCATCGAAGAATCCATCTCTTGCTGCGCCAGCATCGAAGAATCCATCTCTTGCTGCGCCTGCATCGAAGAATCCATGTCCTGCTGCGCTTGTGTGAACTCCACGACGCATGTCTATATTTGGCAAACCTGGTATATCTGGTAACCCCCCACCCCTTGAGGCTTCTGAGGGTGCTCCAGCGGTCATCCTCATAATAGCATCTATGATCCTTTGCTGCTGCTGCTGCTGCTGCTGCTGCTGCTGCTGCTGCTGCTGCTGCTGCTGCTGCTGCTGCTGCTGCTGCTGCTGCTGCTGCTGCTGCTGCTGCTGCTGCTGCTGCTGCTGCTGCTGCTGCTGCTGCTGATGCCGTTGCTGTTGTTGCTCCTGCTGCTGTATCTGGTGTGGCTGCTCCCACTTCTGATGCCCTTGCTGCTCCTGATGCTCCTTGCCCTGCCACCCCTGCTGCTCCTGATGTTGCTGTTGCTGCCACTCCTGTTGCTGCTGCTGCTGCTGCTGCTGCTGCTGCTGCTGCTGCTGCTGCCTCAGACGCTGCAGCTGCATTTGCCACGAATCCAGAGCAGAAGACTCCTTATCCACCCCAGCAGCAGGTGCCATGAAAGCTGCACGAAACGTTGGCGTTAACGATTGAGCGTGAGAGAACTGGGAAAGCAGCAGGGAAGAGGCAGGCACTGACGAAGAAGCAGCAGCAAGCGGCTGGCCAATGACTTGCCCCTGATGCCCTTTCGGCAGCCACCTCTCTTGCGATTGCTGCTGTTTTCGCTGCTGCCACTCCTGCTGCTGCTGCTGCTGCTGCTGCTGCCGCCGTAGAAATCCTAAAAGCTGGACCATTGCCTCTTGGTTCATGCCCACACTCCCTCCTTGACACCCACCCCTCCTCTCATCACCAGATTCAACTCCCCGGGAAACAGCCAAGGGTGTAGTAGCGCCACTGATCTCACCTATCACGCCTTGGGACCCTCTTTCTCCATTAAGGTCCACACCATCGGCAGATGCTAAACCTTCTTGCGGCACTTGCATCGAAGAAATGTTTCGAATAAGACGATCGCTGCCAGCCAAGCTTGCACCGATTTGTTGTCTTGTGGGGACAGCTGGGTTCAGCGACCCCCAAAAGGCGGAAACAGCAGCGGGGCTGCTGAAGGAAATGCCAACTGGAGTGGTGGAGAGTGGTGGAGTAGTTCTAGAGACTCTCATCAGTGCTGGGGTTGCGATAGGAGTAGTCTCAGGCTGTGTGGGATCACTGAAAGGGTTATGCGGTGGAACTGCCATGGTGCTGAGGGGAGGACGGTCTTCAGGCAAGGAAGGTGTTGGTGTGAGAGAGGGGCGGGGGGAAGAGGCCATGGTAGTGCAAATGCGCTCCCGATGAGGCCCACTCCCTCGGAGGGACTAAGAGAATTCAGGGAGGGGCCAGCTAAGGAACGGGCATGCCGCGAGTCAGACCCTAAAATAAATTGTGTGGTAGGGGATGTGGGGGAGTGGCAAGGGTGTTGCGACAGCTTCCGGCTTTTTCAAGACGAGCCAGGTGAGACACCTAGTGCCCACCGTCGATAGCCTTAGAGACAGACTCAACAATCTGTTGTGTGAAGCATCTAAGTCACTGGACGCTGGTGCCAGTATTGACTTAGAAATCACTAGCTGATTGAGCCAGAGAAATCATTAGCTGACAGAGCCAGAGCCACTGCGAGCTCCTACTATCACTAGAGTTGCTGCGGCCAAATGAGGTGATGTCTTCTGAAACTTATGGGAAGTTGAAGTTTCCCTTGCATTTGGAGATCTGAGACGCCTAAGGAGGTTTCTTGCCCACCTGAAGCACGAAAAGGGGAATCAAGAAAGGAAAGGAATATTTTTTTTTTTTTTTTTTTCACCACAGAAACCTCTATCGTGCCATGGGGATCCAAGATGTATCCCAAATGTTACCACGTGGCACGTGCAGCAGTGCATGATGATGAGAGCAATCGCAGTGAACCTCTGGGAAAGGCTATAGCTAGCAGTTGTGCTGGAAAGAGCAGATTTGCACCATATAAGCCCAAATGTTTGGGCGAATTTTTATTTGCTAATATTAGCGAGTCTTGGATATGTAATAGCGTGACATGATGATGAGATTGACACAGTAAGGAAAGCAAATGTTTGATAGTACTCATTTTTGGGTCAATGGACCTGTCGACGGCAATCCTGAAACTTTCAGCTGATATATTCGCGGTTTTCGTACCTCCTTTTGTAACCAACGCCCAATACGGATGGTTGCCCGAATATTGCACGAAAATCATCCATCCAAATACGTTTGCGTGTCGTCAGAGCTTCCCGCTGGATTTTATGGGAGCATGACGAGGCTAAATCCAATAATAAATTCAACTTAAATCGCTCAGGTCAGGATGGAACGGTATCAATTTATGCTTGAATCCGATTTATGAGTCATGATTTGTGGGTCGCAAGTACTAGTTCTCTCGGCTTTTTTCGCTGAGTCAGCGCCGCTGAAACAACCGGCGGTTGCTCCGTGATCCGCGGCGTGCTTGAGTTCGCCTTTGGAACAACGTCAGAAACAACTGCTCGTAACTTTGGTGGTGCGTGGTCAGGGAAGAACATGCCACGCTAGTAGGTAATCTGTGACGGTGCGTTGCCACAGCTGTTGGATTTCTATGACATAATTCAGATTAGGGATGATTTGTGATGGAAAACATCGGTGTTTTGATGGAAAACATCGGTGAGCGACAAGGGTTTGCAACGCACTTCACAAGAAAGAGATGGGTGGCAAAGAAGATCGCTCTTCCTCCACCATCCCAGGTGGCGAGGCGAGGGTTCATGAACGAGACGAGAAACTGCAGCAGGTGGTCATCCACGTCGTGTGATTGAAGCGAATCAAACGATGGGCGGTCGATACACTGCAAACAGTCCCTCGACTCAACACGTTCACTGCAGCAGGGGGAGGCGCCGTTCGTTCACCCCGGCTTCCGCTTCGCCAGACACCAGAAAACACTACAGTGTTACATAGTTTGTCCGCCCGAGCCTGAGTCTTGCTCACAAACTTTTGAAGTTAGGGCTGGTTAAATGTTTTACTTTATTCGTCCGGATGACCAACTGTCCGGACATTATGTGGTTACGGGAATCGTTCGATTTCAACAGAACGTTCGTCAGGGTATAAACGACGTCGTAAGCTTCGTCTGGCCTACTTGCGGCATCGCATTGGTCGCAACACGACCGTGCGACGTCGCAATCTTCGCACGCGTCCGGAAAATTGCCCAGACTTTCGGCGATCTTAAAACATGTAACACGCCCTTACGTGGTAGGCCTGAAAGTCGCTCTTGCCTAAGTGAATTGTCAAGTCGTGCCCAAACTTCTCCATCGCCGAATATTGCCGCAAGTTCGCCACCCCGGCACAAGATATTTACATTCCTTTTTGGGGACTTCATGTTACCCTAAACCCGAAACCCATTTTTTTGCGCTTAGTTAGCCAGGCTCGTCTCTGAAACAACTCGAAGTTTCTGGTGTAGATTTACACCACAGGTTCGCAGTTCGGGACAGCAACATCCGTTTCGTCAACGAACCACCCAAACCATTTTCCCGCCATCCCGTGAGGTGACAAAAGTATCCTAGCGGGCGGCGGGAAACCTTAACATACAAATTATCATTAGTTTCACACCGTCTTTCTATGAGGCTTTAGAGTGAAACGAGCGTCATCTTCGCCAAAGTCGCTGAGTTCGCCACAGTAAAACATTGACGAATTGTTCGGATTCAATTTCGAAAGTAATGTGACCAAACTGCGCAGCTGTAATCAAGCGCAAACCTTACCCAATGATCCTTTATTTTTCCAGAGGAATATGAAAGCAAAATATGTTTTCCGGATTTCGTGGCCTGGGTCCGCAATTGGCAAGAATCATGTCGAGCGTCGTGTGTAGATTATTGAAGCGCCCGATGACAGTGCAACAGGCCCCCCAATCAGATGCTTCATCCTGGCAAATTGGGCGGCATTTTCCCACGGTTGAACACCCTTTCTGTTTTTGCCCTGTCACTCGTAGTGTGGCCCAGGTTTGTGGAAACCCGGACAAGGAATGCCTTACTGTTTGAGCCCTTCGAAATTAAAACTTGTGACACGTCAAAATTCTCGCCTGAAGTTCCCAACTGGGTTTACCAGATCCATTCATTTCACAAGCCTGTAAATCAGAGAGAAACAATTTGCATGAACCATTTTCCAGGATGGCAACCCAATCGAGAGCCGCACACAATCAAGCTGCAGTGAAGCCCACTGCCCAACGCAACCTCAACGCAAGAAAAACTATTCCCGCCCCCACCCAAGCCGCACAACTTCACTGCGAAACTACATAGGAAGCTGCGAATAGAAAACTACACTCCAGAAACACTCAAGCTATCATTACGGATTCCTGCCCTTAGTAACAACAGCCTCCTTTCTATGTACGGTGACTCAAATAAGGAGATTCCTCAAAAAATGATTTTTTCTATTCACACAATTGCTAGAGTGATTGAACACTTCCCATGCTGCCTCATGTTTTATGCATTTACCAAAACGCTTGAATTATGGCAAACGGGTATTGTAGTTCATGTTTACAAAATTTCTTACTTGAATTACAACTAACATTTCAAGATACGTGAATTACCCTATGGTGAGCAATAAATTGCTTCATTGTCGCAGGGAGTATGGCCCCTGATTTTGGCCCACACGGCCTAAAAGTCATTGCCCTCCCTACCACAGTCAGGGTGGATAGGTTGGTGAGTCTGGCAAGTTTGACTATAGGTTTCTTTCAAGTATAGCATGTGTTTTTACTTGCAAACTTTCCTTGGATACAACATCATCTCATTTTGATGCCCACAAATGTACACCGCCAGCAAGAACAGGTGTAGGAGATAGACATTGGATGACATTTTACAAACGAGAATTGTGTACAACGCTGCACAAAGCAGTCCTTGACAGCTTATCTGTCTCGGCGCACAGGTTTCTCAATAACACAGTTCAGATAGACATGCATGCCTTTTCGCTCGCCACTGTCGGGCTTAGGAGTAATGTTCCAATGTAGCTTCTTGTACTGTAGCTGCTCGATTATTGCGATATAAAGTGGCATCTCATTAAGGGGTGCGTAGAACATTTCAAACCACATGACTCCACCTGCAGTTCATTGGGATCAGTTGGCAAGTGGAAGAGTCAGAGGAACAAAACTTGCATTCAAGATTAGGAGCATCACATCTCCTCCTAAACGAAGGAGAATTTTCTACATAGTAGGTGATGGGACAGTGAGAAAAACTCAGGGAGTGGCAAATGATGGCGTCCTATCCAAGCATGCAAGCTTTGAATTAATTGTGCCACTCAAGACCTCAACTTTCAAAGCCCGCAATCGCCATGCCATGGGACACCCTTAGAAGTTTGCATGAAACTGACACTGATGCAAGAGCATGACGTGGAAATACCGAAGACTGAAAGACTCGAAGCACCATGTCCCATTTGAATATGGGTTCCTCGAGTTCCAACACAGGGAGAATCTTGATGCTGTTGACACGCACACGCACATGCACACGCACACACGCACATGCACTCTCATGCACACCCGCTTTACAACTCACCGACTCGCAGAACTCTGTCCCACTCGAAGATGAGCTCCTCGAATTACAGCACCGGGAGGTACTTTATGCTGTTCACACAGTGCACGCACATGCACACGCTTAGATGCGCACGGCACGGGCACGCACACGCACACACATACACTATTTCACTCACCAACTCGAAGCACCCTGTCCCATTCAAAGATGAGCTCCTCGAATTCCAACACAGGGAGATACTTAATGCTGTTCACGCAATGCACCTACTTGAACAAGAAGAAGAGAATTCCTGTCCCGCTCGAACAACTCACCGACTCGCAGAACTCTGTCCCACTCGAAGATGAGCTCCTCAAATTCCAACACGGGGAGGTACTTGATGCTGTTCACACAATGCACGCAACACATCCTATCTGAGAAACAAGAAGAAGAGACTTACTGTCCCGTGCGAAGAACTCACCAACTCGAAGCACCCTGTCCCATTCAAAGATTAGCTCCTCGAATTCCAACACGGGGAGGTACTTTATGCTGTTGACACAATGCACGAGATCTAGTGTGTTGTCAAACAGGGGCAAGCGCGCCTGCGTGGGGAAAGAGAGAGAGAAACAGAACACGTGTCAGCACAAGGAGGTACCGTATGCTGTTGACGCAGTGCACAAGATCTAGTGTGTTGTCAAAGAGAGGCAAGCGCGCCTGCGTGGGGAAAGAGAGAGAGAAACAGAACACGTGTCAGCACAAGGAGGTACCGTATGCTGTTGACGCAGTGCACGAGATCTAGTGTGTTGTCAAAGAGAGGCAAGCGCGCCTGTGTGGGGAACAGGGTGGGGAGCAGGGTGGTGAGAGGGGAGGAGAGCATGTGTCAGCACAGGGAGGTACTTGATGCTGTTCACGCAGGCACGAGATCTAGTGTGTTGTCAAAGAGAGGCAAGCGCGCCTGTGTGGGGAAAGGGGTGGGGGGGAGAGGGGAAGAGAAAGAGAAGTCACGTCAACACGAGTGAAGCGATAACAGAAGGTGATACTTGGTGCTACTGATGCCAATGCATGGAGTCTAGATTCTCGTTAGAGAGAAGCAAACACACCTGTGTGAGCCAAGGGAAGGGGAGAGGAGAAGAGGCAGAAAGCGCAGTCGAGTTTCGAGGCCGCTCAAACCTCGTCTCAATCCATGCACACAGGACGGCAGTCAATGCTGTTGACATGGCACCGCGTGCGGTCTGTTGATGTAACCACCCGCACAGTACCTTGTGTGGTAACCACCCGCACAGTACCTTGTGTGGTAACCACGCGCACAGTACCTTGTGTGGTAACCACGCGCACAGCACCTTGTGTGGTAACCATGCGCACAGTACCTTGTGTGGTAACCACGCGCACAGTACCTTGTGTGGTAGCCACTCACACACAGTACGTTGTGTGGTAACCACGCGCACAGTATCTTGTGTGGAAACCACTCACACACAGTACGTTGTGTGGTAACCATGCGCACTGTACCTTGTGTGGTAACCACGCACACAGTACCTTGTGTGGTAACCACCTGCACACTACCTTGTGTAGTGTGCGCGTGCAGCTGTTATAAGGCAGTCCTGCATTCGGTCTCCATGTAAGGCAGCCCGCCTGTGTGGTAACCACTCACACACAGTACCTTGTGTGGTAACCAGAGGGGGATGAGCCCCCTGTGAGCCAGGGTCTCCATATAAGGCAGCCCACCCGTCCTCCCTGCCACTGTCTCCACATTCATCGCTGTTGTGAGAATGGTTACGTTGTATAGCGCCATGTGCGCTGCAAACGTCCCTGTGCCTCCTCCTGCATCTAGCCCGAGCCTGCAGGGGGGAGAGCAGGGTTTTGAGTAAAATTAAAACACATTCACGGCCGTCGTGAGTATGGTTACGTTGTATAGCGCCATGTGAGCAGCAAAGGTTCCCGTGCCTCCTCCCGCGTCTAGCCCGAGCCTGCAGGAGGGAGCGTGCATGGAGGAACAGTAGTGGTTGGGATGTTATGCGGTGTAGGGCAATGTGCTAACGTCCCCTTGCCTCCACCCGCATCTAGCCCGAGTGTGCAAGAGATAGTGCAGGCAGGAGGAGCAGTGATTGGTATGGATCTATATGGAGTGGTTTTGAGGAAGTGTGATGAGACAGGGCGTGCCGAGCGTCAAGTTTTTTAATACATATATTCTTCTTAACCACTCGAGGTTTTGTGTGAAACCCAGTCTCATCTCACCTCACCACACTTTCGTGTGGACATGGGTAGCGAACCTCGGAACTAAACTTGTTTGGGAAGGCTAAACCTTGAGAAGGCTAAATCACCCTGCTCTCACCTCAATGGCCCTTGCTTTACTTTGATGACAGAGGCAACATGCAGCGACCCTCTGAAGCCGCGCTTAACATCGGTTCTTAAGCGGTTAAGCTTAACATCGGTTCTTAAGCGGTTAAGCTTAACATCGGTTCTTAAGCGGTTAAGCTTAACATCGGTTCTTAAGCGGTTAAGCTTAACATCGGTTCTTAAGCGTGAGGTTGAAGCAGTTGCGACAGTCGCCCACCATTCCACACCACCCAGGGGGAGCTGTTTAGGCAGCATATGAAAGCAACCCACCCTTCCTCTCACCTCAACGACCCTCGCTTCATCTTGATGACAACGGGGATGGGGAGGGACCCTCGGAAGCCGCGTTGCCATCGATTCTTCTCGAGAGTGAGGTTGAAGCAGTTGCGACAGTCGCCCACCACACGCGTGTTGAGGCAGGAAAAGGACTTGCACGAGTGCAGGCTCCACCGCACGTTCTCGTCCTTTAGTGCTCCCTGAGTGAAGAGTGCTGCTGGGAAGGGCAGGGGCTGGGCAGGGGTATAGGGGCGAGAAGAGAGTTGGGGGAAATGGGGGTGGTACCAGGCAGACAGTCAGTCGCCAACCACGCGCGTGTTGAGGCAGGTGAAGGACTTGCACGAGTGCAGGCTCCACCGCACGTTCTCGTCCTTTAGTGCTCCCTGAGTGAAAAGAGCAGCTGGGAAGGGCAGGGGCTGGGGGAGAGGGGAGCGGCGCAAGCAGGGAGAGGAGGGGAGGGGATGCCACATCGGCAGTAGAGGCAGGGGAGAACGACTTGCACGAGTGCAGGCTCCTCCGCGCAATAGATCCCCATGTAGGAGGCATGGCATAGCCGCCGTAGCGCGGCAGCAGCTGTGTTTAGCAAACTGTTGTTTAGTTTGGTTTTATGCTTCCTTGTAAAAAACCTTGTGAAAAAAAAAAGGTGGCGGTAACTAGTTTCGGCTCTTCGAGCCTTCTTCAGACCAGGTTGACTTTTGAGTCGACTCAAAAGGAGGGGAGGGGATGCCACATCGGCAGTAGAGGCAGGAAAGAACGACTTTCAGGAGTGCAGGATCCACCGCACATTCTCGTCCTTTAGTGCTCCCTGAGTGAATAGTGTTGCTGGGAAGGGCAAGGGCTGGGAGGGGACACGGCGGCGAGGAGGAGGCAGGTGGGAACGACTTGCAGGAGTGCAGGGTATACCGGATAGACAGTCCGGATTCAACGCATCACACTCCACCCACCTCTCGTTGGTGCGAGCCATGCAGCGTCGCTTGGGCAGGGCGAAGCAGTTGTGGGTGAATATGAGTGGCTGGGTTTCCAGCCAGCCCCAATTCAACGTACCTTGGTCTAAACGGTCCAGATTCAACGTACCTTGGAATATACACTCACAACTGTTTGCGTTTAGCGTATACACGCTAGCGTGTATACGCAAAACGCTATACGCTAGCGAATACGCTATACGCTCGCCAATTTTTTTGTGGGGCAGCCCGGCCAAAAAATTTCAACCTATACGGTTCGCTTCGGAATTGCACGACGAAGACATTGGCGGGGTCAGATGGCACGTCCGCGCTGTGTGCTAGCGTGGACGTGGGTTGAAAGTTCGCGTCGCGAATGAAAAGTCACGTACGTCGAGTCGCGCCTGCACGTTCCCTCACATTTTGGTGTTCACACTCAGCACCGCATTCAAAACCTTCGCAACCAATTGCGATTCCAACTTCTGTTGCCCATCTTCCCACTCCCACAATCTACTCGCTATTAAACACGCACACCCCCAACATCCAACTCATTAGGTCTTCTCCCGCTACCAGCATTGCACTGGGCATTCCCTAGCGCCTGGTGCCTATGTCGAGTACTACCACCTCTCCTCCAACGGCACCGTCAGTTAACACCGTCAGACCCCAAACCCCAGCCCCATACCCCCCCCCTTCCTTCCCCCCCCCCTCTCCGGGTTTTGTTGACCCTGCCCGGGAAGTTTTTTTTCTGCCCGAAAAAGCGTATTCCCAAACCCGGGCCGACAGCGTATAGCGTATATACGAGTGCATATATACGATAAGCGTATATACGCAAAACGCGTATATTCCCACTAAGGTGTAGACGGTCCACATCCAACATACCTTGGGTCTAGACGGTCCAGGTTCAAGGTACCTTGGGTCTAGATGGCCCAGGTTCAACGTACCTTGGTCTAGATCGTCCAGGTTCAACGTACAATGGTAGACGGTCCAGGTTCAACGTACCTCGGTCCACCTCTGGTTGGTGTGGGCCATGCACCGACGCTTGGGCAGCGCAAAGCAGTTGTGAGTGAATATGAGCACCTGGGTCACCAGCCAGTCCAGATTCAACGCACCTGGGCCTATGCAGTCCAGATTCAACGCACCTGGGCCTATGCAGTCCAGATTCAACGCACCTGGGCCTATGCAGTCCAGATTCAACGCACCTCAGTCCATCTCTGGTTGGTGCGGGCCATGCAGCGGCGCTTGGGCAGCGCGAAGCAGTTGTGGGTGAATATGAGCGCCTGGGTTGCCATCCAGTCGTCTGGGCAGAGGCGGTTCGGATCGTACTCGAGAAATGAGTAGATGTCATCATCTGATGCATCGCATGCATAGCCCTGTAATGAAGGGGTGGGCAGTGGAGAGAGGGAGAGAGGAGAAGTCCAGAGGGAGGGGCAGAGCCTGTTCGGATCGTACTCGAGGAATGAGTAGATGTCATCGTCTGATGCATCGCATGCATAGCCCTGTGTGGGGGGGTGGAGAGGGGAAGACAGAGAAGAGAGAGGGGAGAGGAAGGGGAAAGGGACATAGCCAGTTTGGGTCGTACTCGAGAAATGAGTAGATGTCATCATCCGAGGCATCACATGCATAGCCCTGTGCGAGGGGTGGTGAGAGGGGAGAGAAGTTGGAGAAATGAGGAGAGGAGGTAGAGGGGATAGGAGAGGGCACAGTCGGTTTGGGTCATGCAAACCCACCTTCCAGAGTTGCACTTTCTTTGACGTGACGACAATAACGCCATTGGCAATGCAGGGGCGATAGTGAGAAATACCCACCTTCGAAAGGGGCAATGTCGAACCATACCCACCTTCCAGAGTTGTACTTTCTTCGACGTGACGACAACACCATTGGCTTTACATGAAGCTATAGCACGACGCGCATCCTCCATCCTCTGTAAAGCCAATCACACCACACAGCACCACAACAAACCACGTAAGACCGCATCACACCAACGCACACCACATCACGCCACACCGCACAACACCGCATCACACCAGGACAAACGGCATCACAACATCGTACGTTGAAGTCCAAAGAGAGAGAACGCAGAGCAGTCAAGGAGAGAAACAAAACTACAGAATGATGTCAACCAGAGGTAAACTGAAAGTTGCACCCCATGCCCCATGCGCCCCATGCACCATACCCCACGCCCCATAGCCCATGCCCCATGTCCCATCCCATACACCATGCAACAAGCCACATGCACCATGCCCCATGCCCCACGCCCCACGCCCCACGCCCCATGCCCCATGCCCCATGCCCCATGCCCCATGCCCCATGCCCCATGCCACCATGCCCTACACCCACACGCTCCCCCATGCCCTTTGCCCCATAACTCACCTGTGGGGGCACCAGGCAGTCGTTTCAATCAACCGTGGTCTCCGAGAGAGCATAGTCCAGCAGGAGAGCTGGCACTAGTGCACCTCGTCCTACCCATGCCATCAAGCCCTCATGCCCCATGCCCCATGCCCCATGCATGATTCACCTGTGGAGGCACCAGGCGGTCGTTCCAGTCGACAGTGGTCTCCGAGAGAGCAGCATAGTCCAGCAGGAGAGGCGGCGCTAGTGTATCAAGCCATGCCGCATGCCCCATGCCCTATACACACGCATGCCCCACGTCCCATATGCACCATGCACCAAGCCACCATGCCCCATAACTCACCTGTGGGGGCACCAGTCAGTCATTCCAGTCAACAGTGGTCTGAGAGAGAGCATAGTCCAGCAGCAGAGCCGGCACTAGTGTATCAAGCCATGCCCCATGCCCCATGCCCCATATGCACCAAGCCACCATGCCCCACCTACGGCTCACCTGAGGGGGCAGCAGGCGGTCGTTCCAGTCAACAGTAGTCTCTGAGAGAGCATAGTCCAGCAGGAGAGCCGGCAGTGGTGTGCTGTACCCATGCACCCCATATTCCATACGCACCATTCCCCACCTACGGCTCGCCTGTGGGGGCACCAGGCGGTCGTTCCAGTCAACAGTGGTCTCTGAGAGAGCATAGTCCAGCAGGAGAGCCGGCAGTGGTGTGCTGTACCCATGCACCCCATATTCCATACGCACCATTCCCCACCTACAGCTCACCTGTGGGGGCACCAGGCGGTCGTTCCAGTCAACAGTGGTCTCTGAGAGAGCATAGTCCAGCAGGAGAGTTGGCTATAGTGTATCCATGCCACCATGCCATGCCACCATGCCATGCCACCAGCAACAACTCACTTACCTGTGGGGGCACCAGGCGGTCGTTCCAGTCAACAGTGGTCTCTGAGAGAGCATAGTCCAGCAGAAACTTTTGATAGTTGACTCGGCCCACTGTGCGCTGCAGGTTACGGGGTTACAGGGTTACAGAATGACAAAAGGGTATGAGTAAGGCATTGAGTGCAGGACTCAGTGCGTGGTCTCAGAGAGAGCATAGTCCAGCAGAAACTTCTGGTAGTTCACTCGGCCCACTGTGCGCTGCAGCAGGGTTGCGGGGTAACAGGGGTACAGGGTTTTGGGGTGAAGAGAAGCAATGACTTAGGGCGGGTCTGAAAAGGACGGCGTGGTCTCCGAGAGAGCATAGTCCAGCAGGAACTACTGATAGTTCACTTGGCCCACAGTGCGCTGCAGCAGGGTTACAGGGTTGTGGAGAAGGCACAGCACAGAGTTCAGCGCTCAATCAACAGTGGTCTCTGAGAGAGCATAGTCCAGCAGAAACTTCTGGTAGTTGACTCGGCCCACAGTGCGCTGCAGGATAGTGGGGTTATAGGGTTGTTGGGGTGTAGAGGAAGCATTGGGTTTCAGTGCATGCGCTCGGAGAGAGGAGAGTCCAGCAGAAGTTTGAATTCTGAATCTTCTTTTTTTTCAATCTCTAGAAACAGAGAGCAAAGTCCAGCAGATAATTGACTCGGCTCACAGAGCGCTGTAGCGCGGATAGTTACAGGGTTACAGGGTTACAGAGTGTCAAAGTGGTGTGGGGAAGGGAAGGAAGGGAAGGTACAGAGTTTGAGTGCATAGCCTCTGAGAGAGCATAGCTCAGGAGGATCTTAGTTCTTGCGGCTCACAGTGCGCTGTATGCAGTGTGGGTAGGCACAATGATATGGGGTAACAGAGTTACAGAATGTTGGGTGTACAAAAGAAGTCGAGGGCTTGTGTGCATAGCTTCCAGAGATACTAGTCCAGCAGGAACGTCTGATTTGATTTGATCTGATTTGATTCGGCTTGAGCTCACCTCCATCTCCTCGATCTGCACGTGAGTCGCCCACAGCTGCAAGCACTGCCTTTGCCGCTACATGGCTCAGAATGAGGGGTTGGTGTGGGGTTTTGCAGGATTGAAAGTGATAAAGAGGGTTTGAAGGGGTTCCCCTCACCTGCATTTCTTCGATCTGCACTTGAGTGGCTCGCAGCTGCACCGTCTTGGCAGCCAGGTGGGCCCTGAGGGCGCCAACGCTTGTCTCATTCGCGGCGCAGGCGGCATTCGGGTTCAGGTTGGGAGTTCTGTAGGATTGAGTCAGCATTCGGCGCACAGAGCCTAATTCCGCTGCAGCTGCTGATGCTGTAGTTGCTGCTGGGGGGGCATTGAGATGGCTCTGCATGTCTCTCCTTCTGCTCTTTCTGCTGCCGCCGCCGCTGCTGCTGCTGCCGCTGCCGCCGCTGCTGCTGATAATGCTAAGTTCTTTGTCTCTCCTCTCGTCCAGACTGAGCAGGGAGCGAATGGCGGCATGCAGACTACCACTCAGCACCTGCAGCTCCTCCGTGGTTGCAGCTGCAGCACTGGGATACCGTGGCAAAAGCTTGGCATGTTGGCCGTTGGAGGTCAGGGTTCGAATCTTAAAGCTGGGAGATTGGAGTAACGGCATCTTCTGGGAAGGCGCGATGCCAGTGGCGGCGGTGGTGGTGGCTGACGTAGCAGGTGACGTGGAAGGATAAGATTGCGCAGCTGAGCTGGCAGTTGCTGCTGCGTTGGCTCCCAGCTCTGAAAACGGCGGTGAAATGCATTCGATACATGTGGATGCTTACATAAGTGATGAACAGGTTGGTATTAAGAGAAACATAAGGAAGAACAGAAAGAAGAACAGAAGAAGGAACAGAAACCTGAGGAGGAGGAGAATACAGAACCGAATGAAAACGACTGAGAAACCCTAAAGTCTGAAGCCAGAACCCTTTATACCCTGCTGCCTGCTCACCTTCTCGCCATTTCCTTAGTCTCTGTAGCTCGTCTAAGCATCTCTGCTGTTCCTCCACCCTTTCCCAGTATTGTGAGGAAGGATACGAGCGGAATATCGGGAAGGGGTGGGAGGAAGGAGAGAAAGGGGGAGAGAAAGGGGGAGAGAAACGAGGGGCGTGATTGTGAGCAGGAAACTTTGAAATACTCTCTGCTCCTCCCGTCTTTCCCGGCATTGTAAGGAAGGAACGGATGTGCGCGGATTCTGAAAATGCGCGGGAGGGGGGGTTGAAGGGTTGGCCTCGGAAATACTCTTTGGTGCGATATTCACCTTTCCCGGCAATGTAAGGAGGATGTGAGAGGGGTGTGGGGGCGGGGGTGGGTGGAAGAAGAAAAAGAAAGGACCGGGGGAGGGGGGCGAATGGGGGAAGAGAAGGACGAGGCATTTGGAAAGACAGGGAGAAGGGGGTCAGAGTAAGAAAGAGGGGGGGAGGGGAAAGATGGGCACAAGGGAGGAGAGGAACTAGGGAAGGGAAAGGGGCTGTTTGTGAGGCGCCTTGGAAACTATCTCTGCTGCTCCTCCCACCCAACAGAGGAAGGGAAAGGGAGGGGGCGGGGGGGCGGAAGGGGGGGTTGGAAAGGTGGGGAAAGGTGGGGAAAGGTGGGAAAAGGTGGGGAAAGGTGGGGAGGGCATTCTTGAGGAAGCTGGAAGGTTGATATTCAGGCTTTTAAGAGACCTCCTGGAGACACGAATTACCTTGAGGAGGTTAGCAGTTCCGTTACCCTCCTAATCGCCGCTCCCAGCATGATCGCACCATGTTCCGACGAAGACTTTCGAGACGCCTCAAAGGTGGTCGCGCCATGGCCTGACGGGGATTCGTTCAGCGGCGCGTGTGAGAGATCGCTAAACGGTGCGAGCACTAGAGTTCCTAGTAACGCTGCTGCGAGAAACGCGGCGAGAAACGCGCCGAATGTCGGCATGAGCTGCGTGCGGAATGGCCAGGAGGGTGGCATATGTCGTATCACAGACGGTCAGGATTTACTCCGATCAATCCGCGGACATCCGCCGTACGGCCGCATGTCAGAACAATGCGGGGGAAGCGCATATGCCGCTACCACCGCTCAATGGCGCATTAATCAAAAAGGAAAAGCTTGCCGGCACATAGAGAACGAGGCTGACGCTCGCTGGCGAAATACAAGGAGGCTGACTTATTCTTGCCAGATAACGATGTAGAAATTTAATTAGTACCCTGCGACTAACACTAGAGGGGGACCATCCATTAGTGGATAGGAACTGCAGCTGTGCAAAACGCATCAGTTTGACTAAACATGCCAGAACTGTTCAGTGCGGTTTACGTCGGTATTCAACATACCACAATCGTGCTTGGGAGTGGTTTGTTGGTTTCCATCTTGCTCAGGTCTTGCGGCATCGGGACTGCCGCTCAGGCTGCGGAGCAGGTTGTGGCGGAGCGTACTTTGATGGTTGTACGGTCTGTTGGTAAAGAGAAATCTGTTAGAGTTGATTAGTAAGTCTACCATTCGTCATGTATACAGAGGGAGATAGTTCGTTTCATTTCATCTACTAAACATAAATTTCCTCATCTTTGAAGTTGAATTTGATCATAGTTTTTTGTTCAATGTAAATGAGTTTCATGAAAATTCTCAGTCGCAACTGTCCCTGATCATTCTTGATCATTATGTTAAGTTTAATATAAGCTTCCGGCTGCTTTAAGCAATGCTGTCCGGAAGTTACATCGCGGATGACATACCGCACTTCGCGCGTTCGTGATTATTGTTTCCCCCACGCCAAGTACCCTCCCGTCGCAGGCGACGCGATGCGATTCAGGGCTGAAATGCACGCTGCGCGGTCAGAGGTGTCTCATTTCGCGGAACTCTGCCCTTTGTGCTCGAAAAAAGCATCTCCATAATTCGCTCGCCGCTTCTTCCCCTTTGATCCCGATTTTGCGAAATCTCAACGAATTTATGTTACTTGCAGCTGCACTGCGGTCTGCAACCCCCACCCCGTCCCCACATAATCGAAGCTGGCGTATCCTGACTTCGGGTCATCCCGTCTTTGTGTCATCCAAATTTGTGGGATCCAATTGCAAAACTCAAATCTCAAACCGCGGGGTTTCCGATTGGCTACCACAATTTTCGGATGACCCGAACACCGGATGACCCGAAGTCAGGAAAATTCCCTGAGGCTGTTCAGTTTCCATAATCACAACGACCAAACAGGTCCGCGCCCGTGCGTCACGGCTGCTCTCCTGTGAGGTTTCGGCTCCAGAGTGCAGACCTGCTGCATTTCTCGCCACTCCTATACCCACAATCGTCGCAACATTATGTCACACCAAATCAGCTTCAACCTGTAGCTGATGCCACCTCGAATCGCGTAATTTGCAGCGCAAATCCTCACTCTCTCACATTACCATTATTGGGTAGTTGCGGTCTATGTTTTCCTCCGCTCGCGAAAGTTCCACGAATAGATGTCAGCGCACATAGAGGTGATCTCGCTGCCTAAAACAAGGCAATTGACGATTATATCGCCACAATCGCTCCGCACCAATGATCATGCGGTGCGCATCGGTGGTCGAGCCGTTAGGCTATGTTACACGTTTTTCCGTCGGATTTCCGCTCACGAACCTCCACGAAGGAACGCTTGCGCACATCACGGTGAATTCATTGCCTCGAACATAGCAATCGGTAATTATATCGCAGCAATTTTCATTCGCATCGCACACATGGTCAGGCGGTGCGCTTCGGTGATGCAGCGGTCAGCCTTCGGTTCCGAGGCAGTGCCGCGGCGCTGGGATATGGGGGGGGACGGTACGGGAGAAAATGGAGTTGGGGAGGTGCGGGAGGGAGGGGGTGGGGAGATAGCAGGAGGGGGAGGGGGAGACGGAGGGAAGGTGCGCACAAGGCAGTGCAGTTTCAGCGCGAGGCGAATTGTCCCGAATGAGCCCATCGCGACGGGCCCAGCTAAGCGCACTTTGCGGAAAACACACAACCCGGGCGATGCGCGTGGTGCCTTACACTCCCGCATCGCGCATCCGCAACTCCACAAAAGGTGCGCTGATGTGCGCTGATCTGTCCGGAAGGAAGGAGGGGGAGCGGTTGCGCGAGCATTCTTCCGCCAGGGGATGGATGACTGGTAGTAGTAGAAGGGAGGCCGTGGTGCGACGCGTGGTGCGACGATGGCATAAATACGAGGTTGCAACCAACTTGAGCCACGCAGATTCAAATCTGGCAGGAGTTCTCCCGAGTATTGCTAACTTCTCTCGAGTTCTTTCGTCCGTCCATCCATCCGACAACTTCGAAAGTCCGTTAGCACAGTAGCTTTCCAGGAGCCGCTGTTCTCCCGACCTCGCAGTAACCAAATTACACTTGAACCGTCCCGCCGCGATCCCCGCTGCCGTCTCGTCTATTTCCCCGCCGTTAACGTCACCCGGCCAGCAACATCAGCCAACGCTCGCAGCAGCCCAATCTCGAGACGTCTAAGAAAGCGGATACTGGCAGCATCAGCCATCATGGCGCGCCGCAGCCCCCGCGCTCCGTGCGTCCTCTTCGTGTTCTTCGTCGTTCTCGTCGTCAACCCCGCGCGCGCCGCCTTTCTTTCTCTTCCGCGGCGCGCGATGATGTTTGCGGAGGGTCCCGCCGACGCGCCGAGTCGTCACGCGCTGCGAGGTGTGCCGGCGGCGGCTTCCGCCGACGTCCTGCCGCCGCGGAGGGCGCTGATTTTCTCCGCGGGCGTCGACGGCGTCACGGAGACGCTTTCCGCGCGCGTGCTTGAAGAGGCGAGCGCGGAAGGCGACGGCGGGATGGCGGAAGGCGGAGAGGCGGAGACTCTTGACGAGGGGAGAGTGCTTGCATCGGAAGAGTTGGGGGAGGCAGAAGAGGGCGCGTGGGAGGGCACAAGAGCTGTTGCGGAAGAGGCGGAAGAAGGTGTGGCGGAAGCGGAGGAGGGGGGAGCGGAGGTCAGAGAGGGGATTGAAGAGGGCCGGCTTTTGGCGGAGGAAGAAGGGGAGATGGGGGGTGAGGAGGCGGTAGATGGGGAGATGGGAAATGAGGAGGAGGGGATTGAGGAGGGAAGGGTGTTGGAGGAAGAAGTGGAGGGAGAGAATGAGGATGAGGATGAGGGGGAGATGCAGGAGGTAGAGGGGATTGAGGAAGGAAGGGTGCTGCAGGAGCAAGGAGAGTCCGAAGAGGCTGGTAATCTGGAGGGGGAGATGGAGGAGGGGGAGGGGATTGAGGAAGGAAGGGTGCTGCAGGAGCAAGGGGAAACCGAGGAGGTTAGTGCTTCGGAAGGAGAGGAGGCAATGCAGGAGGTGGAAGAAGAGGAAATGCAGGAGGGAGAGAGAATTGAGGAAGGAAGGGAGCTGCAGGAGCAAGGGGAAACCGAGGAGGTTAGTGCTTCGGAGGGAGAGGAGGCGATTCAGGAGGGGGAAGAAGAGGAAATGCAGGAGGGAGAGGGAATTGAGGAAGGAAGGGAGCTTCAAGAGCAAGGGGAGTCCGAAGAGGCTGGTGCTTCGGAGGGAGAGGAGGCGATTCAGGAGGGGGAAGAGGCTGAGGAGGGCAGGATGCTGCAGGAGCAAGGAGGGTCCGAGGAGGTTGGTGCTTTGGAGGGAGAGGAGGAAGAAGAGGAAATGCACCAGGGAGAGGGAATTGAGGAGGGCAGGGTGCTTCAGGGAGTGGAAGGAGAGTCTGAGGAGGAGGAGGGTGAATGGAACGAGGATGCTGAGGAGGAGGAAGAGGAGGAGATGCAGGGTGGAGAGGAGGTTGAGGAGGGCAGGGTGCTGCAGGAGCAAAACGACGGTGAGGAGGAGGGTGAGTGGGACGAGGATGCTGAGGAGGAGGAAGAGGAGGAGATGCAGGAGGGAGAGGGGATTGAGGAGGGGCGGGCGCTGATGGGAGACGACGGAGAGGCAGAGGAAGTTGGTGCTTTGGAGGCAGGGAAGGAGATTCAGGAGGAGCAAGAGGATTTCAGTGATGAGGAGGAGGAGGAGGAGGAGATGCAGGAGGGGCGGGCTTTGGCCGAGATTGACAATTCTGAGAATTTGAGTGGGGAGGGGGAGGAAGAAGAGGCAGAGGTGCAGGATGAGGGACGGGATTTGGCCGAGCTTGATGATTCTGAGGGCGAGGGAGAGGAGGAAGTGGAAGTGGAGGAGGAGGCAGTTATGCAGGATGAGGAGGAGGAGGAGGAGGGGGAGATGCAGGAGGGGCGGGCTTTGGCCGAGCTTGATGATTCTGAAGGTGTGAATGGGGAGGAGGAGGAGGAAGAGGAGGAGATGCAGGAGGGCAGGGCTTTGGCAGAGATTGATGATTCTGAAGGTGTGAATGGGGAGGAGGAGGAGGAAGAGGAGGAGATGCAGGAGGGCAGGGCTTTGGCAGAGATTGATGATTCGAAGGGCGAGGGTGAGGGTGAGGAGGAGGTGGAAGAGGAAGTAGAGGAGGAAGAGGCAGAGATGCAGGATGAGGAGGAGGAGGAGATGGAAGAAGGGCGGGCTTTGAGCGAGCTTGACGATTCTGAGGATGTGAGTGAGGATGGGGAGGTGGAAGAGGAGGAGGAGGCAGAGATGCAGGAGGGGATGGAGGAGGATGGTAGGGTGCTGCTGGCAGGAGAGGAGGGCGAGGAGGGCGAGAGTGAGGGGGGAGAGGAGGAGGAGGCGGAACTACAGGGGGAGATGGAGGAGGATGGGAGGGTGCTGCTGGCAGGAGAGGAGGGCGTGGAGGATGAGGAGGGAGAGAGTGTTGGGAGTGAGGAAGGAGAGCAGTGGACGGAGGAGGGGATTGAGGAGAACGGGATGGTGGATGTGGCTTAGGGAGGGAGCAACAGGGCATCCGAGTTCCAAGTGAGTTTAAAGCCAATGCAACAGTGATGCACGAGCTTCCAGAATTCTTGGGAATTCCAGAACTAATTCTCGAGTTTTTACATTTCCTTCTCCCAGGCTTTTTTGCAGGTCTTTTTCATTCGAACGAGGTTCAGGCTTCGGGAAGTCTTTGGAAGATGGCCGAAGGCTGCTGCAGTGGACAAGCGGACAGGCATGGATTGTGACCGGGTGGGACAGCGAGCTACTGCTGAGTTGACTCAAGGTCACAAGTGGAGAAGCATGGATGTACAGGGTGGGAGAGTGGCCACGGGGTGGGAGGGACAACCGACAATGAGCTTTTGATGAGCTACAGTGTACCGTAATGAGGTGGAATAAGGTTGAATATGAGCTGCTTCTCAAGCAGTTTGCTTCAACCACCTGCTCCTCTAGCTCAGTTGCACAAGAGGGAGGACTCCTTTCTTTCCTTCTCCTTCCTCTCCTTCCTTCCTCTCCTTCCTTCCTCTCCTTCCTTCCTCTCCTTCCTTCCTTTCCTTCTCCTTCTCCTCCTTCCTTCCTCCTCTTCCTTCCTTTCGTTCTCCTTCCTTTCCTTGCTCCCTTTCCTTCTCCTGTCTCTATCTCCTCGACCTCTAGCTTACGCAGTGCTATGATTCTGTAGATCAACGTGTGTGGTGGTGCGTGGGGTGGTGGTTTCAGTAGCTGGTTTGCTGTACTTTCCTTTTATTATCATTTGCCACTGCTCTATGCATTTGAGCTTGCAACTATTGGTATAATAGAAGCAAACTCCTGTATAACGCTTGGAGGGAACTAGTTCGGTATGGTGGCACTGCAACCAATACCAGACCTCTCTTCCCCAGGGTCCTCCTTGCTCGTTGGGGATTGACGACTCCCCTACAGGTCTGTACATATCAGCCTCAATCTGGCTGTCATTATCTGCTAACTGGGGTCCTTGGGAGATACCGTAAGTGGTTCTGTTTGGCTTGAAGGTACCAGCAGTAGTGGTAGAACCAGTAAGCACATCGCCCCTTCAGTAAAAACAGCTTTCACATGAGCAACACTGTAAGGAATTTTCTCGAATTCCTTATCGGGGTTGACTACTGCGCGTACAACCCGATTTTCGGAGTTCGCACGTTCGGGCGATTTCCACGCTGCCGAAGCTCCTCGCGTCGCCTTCGGCATTCCCATCGCCAAACCTGCACCCAACCTCGCTCACCCGAGGTTTCCTCCTAGCTAGGCTAGCCCTACATTAGTCTGTGCATTCATTGTATTCTGAATTGATTCAGTCACAGTCTCGTTATTCGTTTACCTGCGTACTCTCTTTTACCGTACAACTCATAACAAACACCTTGAACAACATACAGTAACCACAGGAATACTGTACTTATGAGCACTTCATAAGCACAAAGCAATCATCAGGCATCTGGTAAAATATTCCCATGCTTCAGCAGGATGCCTCCTCTATCAGCTGCCCGGGGGCAGGAAAAAATCCTCGGGCAGTCAAAACCGCCGAAACAACTGTAGTGAGCGCCATCGGCACCAGCAAAAAGAAAGTCACAGTTAACTGAAGATTAACTGCTTCTTGTGGCGGCATCCCCCCCATAAGCATCCCCACCATTGCGCCAGGGAGCTGAATCACGCCGTAGGTCTTAATGTAGTCTAGTGTCGGGCCAAATCCCACCGCTACGGCCTTTCGAATGAGGGGGAGGGAGGCCTGCCATTGGCTTGCACCCAAAGCTAGTGCTGCTTCCACCTGGATTGGAAGTGAGGGAAAACAAATTGGGAAGAAGTGGGAAAGTAGTGGAAAGAGGGGAGTTGAGCCAACGGCCACTGCTACGGCTCTTCGAATAAGGAAAAGGGAGGCCTGCCATTGGCTTGCACCCAAAGCTAGTGCTGCCTCTACCTGGGAACATAGATGGGAGAAGGAGGAAGGAAGGGAGCAGTGATGGAATGTGGAATGTCACGTGATCAAGAGACGAGCCAAATCCCACTGCAACGGCTTTTCGAATGAGAGGGAGGGAGGCCTGCCATTGGCTTGCGCCCAAAGCTAGTGCTGCTTCCACGTGGATTGGCTTTGAGTCGACACAAAAGTCAACTCGGCTTGCGCCTTGACCCAGTGCTGCTTCCACGTGGATTGGAGGCGCGGGAGAGTGGGATATGAAGAAGTGAGAAGAAGAGATGTGGGGCAAAGAACATGGATACGACCTTTGAGTCGACTCAAAAGAACACGGACTCATTGAGGATTCCCCGTGGGTTGGCAGGTTGACTTTTGAGGCGCCTCAGAAGAAATGGATTTGAAGCCGACTCAAAACTGATCATCTTGTGGGAGGTAGAAGGAAAGTGAAGCGAGACCTCGATTTTCAGCATTCTCAAAAGTGACTCATACGTGCCAATGCTACAGCCCTTCCTGCTACAACCCTTCACGCTACAGGTTATAGCTGTTCAGTCACAACCCACCTGCCCCGTCCCCTGTTGAAAGACATCTGTGAGTCGCCGCATGGTGTTGGCAGCAATGGCCATGCTGCTGCCTCGATGCTACAGCTACTCTTGCTAGCTACAACCTATCATGGGACGAGCCACAGTTGCTCGACTTGAACCCACCTCCCCCCCCCGCTGCTGGAAGTCGTCCGCCAGTCGTTGCATGGTGTTGGCAGCAATGGTCATGCTGCTGCCTTCATGCTACAGGCTAAGACCTCACCTGTCCCCTTCGCTGCTGAAAGTCATCAGCGAGTCGTTGCATGGTGTTAGCAGCAATGGTCATGCTGCTGCCCACGATAAGGCCTGAGATGGGAATCAGAAACCCCGGCCGCAAAGGAACCACCTGCAACCAGAGAAGAGTGTGAAAAGGTGGTGAGTGCAGTGGGGTGAGGTGCAGTGCAGTGCGGTGTGGATGCGATGAGGTGTGGTCATGCTGCCGCCCACGATAAGGCCGCAATGGGAATCACAAACCCTGGCCGCAGGGGAACCACCTGCGATGGGTGTAATGCGGTGCAGTGCGGTGATGGGGGGAGCGAGGTGGATTGGCGAGGTGGGTCATATTGCTGCTGCCAAACACAATGAATTTAATGGGAACTAGAAAGAAACTACGGCCACAGGCAAACCACCGTTGGGTGCAGAGAGGTGAGGTGCGGTGAGACAATGGGACAATGGGTAGAAGGAATGATGATGGGTGCAGTGGGGTGAGGTGCGGTGAGGTGCAGTGAGGGAGGGAGATCAATGGGAACCACAAGCAGCATCTATTTTCAGAGCACCACCCAGAAACGCCTAGTAACCAAGAATCAACCAAACACTCCCCGATGCTACAGGGTGTTTCTAGAATTCTGAAAAACACCCTGCAGCATCAGGGAGATCGATAAGAACCACAAGCAGCATCTATTTTCAGAGCGCCACCCAGAAACCCCTAGTAACCAAGAATCAACTCAACACCCCCTCCCCTTAAAATCAAAGGCACGCATACCTGCAAGGCTGCAAGCAGGGAGAAGGCGAGAGTGACGGCGCTTCCTATTGCCCATAGCGACACCCAGAACCCTCCAGCCACCCAGATTCCCGCAAACAGTGCTTTCCCTCTCTATCTATGCCGCACATACCTGCAAGCCTGCTAGGAGCATGAATGTGAGATTGACAGCGGTCCAATTGCCCAGAGCGCCACACAGAAACCCCTAGTAACCAAGAATCAACTCAAAACTCCCTCCCCTTTATATCAAAGGCACGCATACCTGCAAGCCTGCTAGAAGCGAGAAGGCGAGGGAGACGGCACTGCCAATCGCCCAGAGCGCCACCCAGAACCCCCCAGCCACGCGATTGGCTCTCTTGGATGCAGTGTGTGCTGCTGCCAGCACCTGTGGGGTACACAGGGGTTGCATTCGGTACAGACAGATTCAGATGGGTTCAGCAGGCAGGGAGAATGCGAGTGGGACAGCGCCTCCTATCGCCCAGAGCGCCACCCAGAAACCCCCAGCCACGCGCTTGGCTCTCTTAGACGCCGTGTGTGCTGCTGCCAGCACCTGAGAGTTAGAGCGGTTGAGAAGGGTTCAGTTGGGTTCAGAGGAATAGAAAATTTGATCTAACCCAGACCGACCACCTAATGGCCCTCTAGATGCCATGTGTGGTGCTGCCAGCACCTGAGGGATACACGTGGGTAACAATGGGTTCAGAAGTTTTTCAGATGGGTTCAGCTGGCAGGGAGAAGGACGATTATGCTATTTATCTGAGGTGGCCATCCCTCCAATGATCATTTCAAGGCAGTGCGGAAGGCAGTATCAGCAGCTGTGAGTTGACCGGGAGAAGGAGAGCAGGGGGAGAGCAGGGGGGAGAGCAGGGGGGAGAGCAGGGGGGAGAGCAGGGGGGAGAGCAGGAGGGAGAGCAGGGGGGAGAGCAGGAGGGAGAGCAGGGGGAGAGCAGGAGGGAGAGCAGGGGGAGAGCAGGAGGGAGAGCAGGGGGGAGAGCAGGAGGGAGAGCAGGGGGAGAGCAGGAGGGAGAGCAGGGGGAGAGCAGGAGGGAGAGCAGGGGGAGAGCAGGAGGGAGAGCAGGGGGAGAGCAGGAGGGAGAGCAGGGGAGAGCAGGGGGAGAGCAGGGGGAGAGCAGGGGGAAGAGAGTAGGGCGGGAAAAGAAGGGCGGGGAGAGCAAGGTGGGGAGAACAGGGAAGGGAGAGCAGGGAGGGAAAGAGCAGGTAGGAGAGAGCAGGGCGGGGAGAAGGCAGCGAGAGCAGAAGTGAGTGAGAGAGAGCATGGCGGGTGAAGAGAGTGGAAGGGGTAAATAATACACTCACCATGATAGCCACTCCAGAAAATGCCACCCTCCCGCTTTCAATGGCCACGATGTACTTGATCGCGAATCCAACGGCTGAGAGCTGCGCAGCCGCCCTTATCCCCCCTACAAGCAGATCCGCTGCAGTGTTGAAGTCTATCCAGAGGCATATCGAAAGCGCCACTAGAAACATCATTATCGTTGCAGCATGCATCTCATGTCCTGCAGAACCGTATCCCCACATGCCGCCTCCTTCCCCCCGCGTGCCGATTTGAGGTGACCTTTGAGTCGATTCAATTGTTGCTGCGTGCATCTCATGTCCCCCGGAACCATACTCCCACATGCTGCCTCGTGCCCCCCACGTGCCGCCTTGCTCCCCCCACATTCCGATTTGAGGTGACTTTTGGGTCGACTCTAACGTCCCCGCGGGTCTGTACCCCCACATGCTGCCTCGTGCCCCCCATATGCTGCCTTGCTCCCCTGAGTTGGTTGCAGTGCCGCTTTCTTGGTGGGTACTGTTTCTTCTAAGCAATGTGCCCTGAAGTAGTGTACTGCTCTTTGCAGAGCTTTGCTGACAAATTTCCAGTCTCTTGGCTAAGTGTCGTTCACCCCCCAGCCTTTTAGCTAAGTATCTCCCAAATCCTTCTCTTGTAGCTGCTAAGCACTGCTGCTCCGCTCTTGAAGCTGCTAAGGCTGCATCTTTCTGAGCCCCCATAAAATAAGCTCCAGTGGCGTGAGATACCAGGAAATCATCTCTCGTTATAGCATCATTCGCTATAGCATCACCCGCTATAGCACATTGTCTATCAAGCGTCCCGGCTTCAGAGCCTTCCCATGACCTCGCACTGCCGTCCCTAGTCGATGTCGCGTTGCTCGAAGCGCTATTCGCGGCGACACTTGCGGAGACATTCCTCTCCGTGGAGCACGGAGCAGACTTAGAGCGACTTAATCTCCTCACGTACAACGCCGCACTGGCCGCTGATGCTGATGCTGATTCACCACCCACTAGTTGTCCTCGTACGTTTAACACGCTTGATTGATCACGAAAACATAGAAAGACTGGCTTGTAACGAAAATAATGAACTTGGAAGGAGAATTCTGCATATTCGGCTTTTGCTGGCGAAGTTGCTGATGAAGGTGCTGTGGCTGTAACTTTCGCAGCTATGCCTACTACAATGGGAGCTGCGAACATTCTCCTAGGCCTTCGTGCAGAGCTACTAGAAGCAATTGCTGCTTTAGTGGCCGCTGCGTTAGTAGCTGTTGGATAAGTAGTCAATCCTTTCATTTCTAACTGCGAGCGATGGCGAAACGCCTACTGAAGCGGGAATTATCGGCCTCCGAGCCGCCTTGAAGGTAATTTCGAGGAGAAATATGACTGCCGTGCGATTATCGCGCGACTGCCGTGCGACGCGACTGCCCTGCGGCTGCCGTGCGACTGCGAAAGTACAAGTCACATGCTTGCGATTATGTCGCGTCATGCAGCACACGAGCCTGCCTTCGCTCACTGGGAGATTGCGATGACGCCGCGACTCGCAGGAACGCGTCAATTGCGAGAATTTCAAATCCTAGATGCGGACCGACTCGGCACACGACCTACGAATTCATAATTACAAAAGGCACGTTCTGCGAGTCAAAAAGCGTTTCCTCTCAGGATGAGAAATACAATTCTTTCCGTCTAACGTTGGAAACACGAAGCTAGGAATGCAATTTTTATCGCCTAACGGCTCTGAACAGATGCTGCCAGCCATGAAATCGGCCAGGATATGTGAAGGATGGATGATATATCGCATATTAGAACAATTCATTCCCTGCTAGGATGGCCCTACTCAACCCATTTCAAACCATCCTAGCCCATCGTTTTTGCCAGATTCTCAAAAGAATCACCCACCTGCAGTGACCCCGTGAAATTCAAGTTTGTTCAGTCCCCCCTGCTGCGGCAGGGTGCTGCTGGGATCTGTGGCTCTTCTTGATTCTTGACGAGTTACAGAAGCGTTTGTTCGCGAACCAATCAGAGTGCGCTGGTAACGCCGGCACTCGCACGAACCTTATCTGTTCACCCAGCGAACTCGTTGATTCGTATTTGGTTATAGCAGCCGCGTCCGCTGTTCGTAAGTTTGTTCTCGCTAGTTGGTCTCTATGAATGTGTGTGTGATCAAAACATGAATCTTTTATATAAAACCCTTCTTTAGAATCTACAAGATCCTACATCCAACGAAAGTCTCACCAAGTTTCTAGAAGCTGTGCATGACTATGAAAGAACTGGGGGGCGGCTAAAAGAGCCGACACAATACACGACAGCGAAAGCGCCCCCAAAAGAAGAAACGTAATGGTGATCTGCAAGTTGACTGCTTCCTGAGGGGAAGCCCCCCCCATGATCATGCCGGTCATTGACCCTGGGAGCTGAATTATCCCCACGGTCTTGGTGTAGTCTATAGTGGGGCCAAAACCCACGGCTACTGCCCGCTTGATGAGGGGAAGCGAGGCCTCCCATTGGCTAGCACCCAACGCCAATGCTGCCTCTAGCTGGGAGGAAACGGATGGCATGAGAAGAGAAGAGGAAAATGGGGACCAGAAAGGCTGGCAAGAGAGGAGCATCAAGGTGCAACATGATGGATTGGAGATGGGAGAGAAGAGGGGTGGACGAAGGGGTAGGCGCAGGCGGTGGGAATGGGTGGGAAGGAGTGGGTACTGGCATGCCATGCTGTTCCTCCCCTCTTTCCCACTCTCCCGCTTCTTTTCTGTTACGCATCCCTGTTTGTGAGCCCTCATCTGTCTGCTCCTCTGCATAAGGTTGTCAGCAAGTCACTGCATGGCATTGGCAGCAATGCTGGTTTGTTTGTTTGTTTTTGCTTTTGTTTCTTTTTTTCCTATTTCTGTTTACAGCTGGTCACTTAAAACCCACCTGCCCCCTCCTCTGCTGAAAGTCGTCGGCAAGTCGCTGCATGGTGTTGGCAGCAATGGTCATGCTGCTGCCCACCACAATGCCCCCGATGGGAATCACAAACCGCGGCCGCAGCCGAACCACCTGAACAACACATGGGGAGAAAGGAGGTGCAATGGGGTGAGGTGAAGTGTGCTGTGGTGCGGTGCGTTGAGGTGTAGGCATGCTGCTGCCCACCACGATGCCCCCGATGGGAATCACAAACCGCGGCCGCAGCCGAACCACCTGCGAACATGGGAGAAGTAGGAAGGAGCGGTGATAGGTGTGGTGAGATGCAGTGCGGCGATGGGGAAGAGGGGCTAGGCTGCTGCTGCCCACCAGAATGCCCCCGATGGGAATCACAAACCACGGCCGCAGGCGAACCACCTGAAACCAGGGAGAAAGGGATGGAATGGACGATGATAGGTGTGATGCGGTGCAGTGCGGTGATGGAGGTACAGAGGTCGATGGAGAGGGGTTAGGCTGCTGCTGCCCACCACAATGCCCCCGATGGGAATCACAAACCGCGGCCGCAGCCGAACCACCTGATTGAAAAAAGCAAAAGGGAAAGAAAATATAATCATAAACAGGACGGTGGGTGCCTGCTTAACCCCAGTTTAGCCCTTAACTGCAACCCCCCAAAACCTTGGTTGCGGGTAGAGAGACGACTTTTGAGGCGCCTCAAAAATCATAAACAGGACAGTGGGTGCCTGCTTAACCCCAGGTCAGCTCTCAAGTGCAACCCCCCAAAACCTTTGGCCGTGTGCTCCGCGCAGGTCTGGCCTGTAACCTCATGAGATGCAAGCTGTGTAGTGACTGTGTCAGTAGCCACCGCCACCAGAGCCAGCCAAAAGCCTGGGTCATCCCCTGCTTGATTTTACACCCCACTCACCCTGACAGTAGGCCTAGGGCTGTTCTTCTCACCTGCACGCTGATGAGGAGAGACGGCGCAGTAGACCTTGGGCAGGTCTCACCTGCAGGCTGACTAGGAGAGACAGCGCAGTGACAGTGACAGTGACAGTGCCAGTAGCCACGGCCACCCAGAAGCCTGGCTCATCCCGGACAACCTAATAACTCACACAGTGGGCCTAGGGCAGCAGATCTCACCTGCAGGACGACGAGCAGGGACAGCGCAGTGAGTGTGCCAGTCGCCACCGCCACCAGCGCCACCCAGAACCCTAGCTCACCCCTCGCTTGCTACCGCCAATAAGCCTCACAGTAAGCCTAGGAAGGACAGCAGTTCTCACCTGCAGGACGACTAGAAGAGACAGCGCAGTGACAGTGCCAGTAGCCACGGCCACCAGCGCCACCCAGAAGCCTGGGTCAACCCTCTCATGCTTTGATACCCCAATGACCCTGACAGTAGGGCTAGGGCTGAATTTCTCACCTGCAGGACGACGAGCAGGGAGAGCGCAGTGACCGTGCCAGTAGCCACCGCCACCAGCGCCACCCAGAAGCCTCGCGGCACTGACTTGGCTCTCTGGGACGCTGTGTAGGCTGCTATCACGATCTGTTGGGGGGGGGGGGTGAGGGAGAGAGAAGAGGAGAGGGTGCGCAAAGAGAAGTGGAACGGACAGTGGATTGGGAATGGGGGGGGGGGCTGTGTAAGCTGCTATCACGATCTGTGGGGGCGGGTAAGGGAGAGAGAGGAGGAGAGAGCGGGCAAAGCGAAGCGGAACGGATAGTGGATTGGAAATGGGGACGAGTGCACAAGGGAAGGGGTTACATGGGAATGAAGTGCGGTGGCGGTTGAAACTCGAGGGGTGAAAGTGAGTGTGACGAAGCAACAAAGGGGGTGTTGGGGGGAGGAGGATGGTGGGGCGACGGGTATATGTGAGGGTGACGAGGCAAGAGGAGGGGGGGGTTGAAGGTGGGCCGGGGAAGGAGGGGAAGAGGGAATGAGGGAGAGGGGGGGAATGGGGAAGGGGGAGTGGTGGGGAGTGGTGGGGAGTGGTTTTGGTAGAAGAAGATCATCACCATCAACAATCTAAAAAAGTTGCCCACGTTATTTCGTGCCTCACGTTCGATTCATTGCCCCTCACGTGCACTCTCCCCCACGTTCATTCCCCCGCATATTCATTTCTCCCCCCGCCCATTTATTCCCATCACATTCATTCCCCCCCATTTCATTCCCCCCCACATCTATTCCACCCCCCACATTCATTCCCCCCCACATTCATCACCCCCCCACATTCATTCTCCCCCACATCCATTCCCCCATATCCATCCCCTCCCCTCGTTCATACCCCAAGGTGGTTATTCCCCTTGCGTGGGCTCTTACCATGACTGCCACGGCAACAAAGACTGGGTGCGCGCTGTCAACGGTGAAGATGTATTTGAGCCCCAATCCAACGGCTGTCAGCTGCACGAACGCCCTTGTACCCGATACAAGCAGGTCCGCTGCGGTTTTCACGTCCAGCCAGAGGCACACGGAGAGGGCTACGAGGAACAGCATGGCTGTGGCTAGGTGCCGCTCGGTTCCCATGGGTGCTGCGGCTGATTTCACGCCTGACTTGCTGATTGCCGCTTGCCATTGCGCCTGCGACTGTTGGGTCTTCCCTTGCTCCGCTTTCTTTCTGTGCGACGCCTTAGTCCCTTGTTCTGCCTGTTCCTGCTGCTGCTCCCGCGGCTGCTCCGGCTGTGATTGCTCCCTCTGCTGTTGCGAGAGTTGCTCTGGTTGCAAATCTCTTGAATCGTTTTGTCTCTGCATAAGGCGGATAAAAGGGAGTGGGGTGAAGGGGTTGAAAAAAGACCGAGTGGTAGAAGGAGCACCAGGACTAGCGTCGACCAAAAAAGAGAGGGTTTAGGATACGCTTGCTTCGCTTTGGTCCGTTCTGAGATTTCATTTCAGCAACTTGACGGGTCGCGATCACTCAGCCACCAAAAGAACGAGAGCGGTGTTTCCAGCCTTATCGATGTCAAATTAATGATACGTTAGTTGGCCAAAAACTTCCAAAAATGCGGATCCATATGCAATCTTTATAGATCCTTACAAGGATGAGACTGACCTGCGTCGGTGCGGCCTGACTGGAAGCTTCCGATGCCGACACCACAAGCCGAGAAGCATTACAACGGTTCACGTTCCTAGTCCCACCAATAACCGCTTTTGATTTCCACGCCGTATTGGAAGCAAGAGATCCTGCCCGCTCGTCTCTAAACCCTTCCGACCACATGCTTCTTCTCATGCCAGTTCTCCCATAGCTTCTCGAGCTGCCTCTCACTCTCCTTGAATAATCAGATTCAGTGCAATGAGGCGCCTTATCATTCCGCAACCAGCTCCTTCTGGAAATCTCCTCGCCGGGGTTTCCGGCATTTCTCTGAAGCAGACAGCTGACTCGTGCTCTGCATTGTCTATCTTCTAGAAAGGGTTCGGAAGATGATCCAGGAGATGGAGCGAGGCAGACGCGGTTGGATGGTGGATGGACCAGAGACGAGTTGCGAACAGAAACGGAGGCTGCAGAAGGTGCATTCATGATTGTTGGAGACGGCGCACCGACTGACGCTGACTGTCGTTGACTGAAGCTGACTGACGCTATCAGAATGGAGCGAGTAGCTGAAATGAGTGAGAAGATGGGTTGAAAGACCTCCCAGGAATAGCGCGAAACGATAGCTGCTACTGAGTGACTAATGAGGAGAACGAGTTTCTGGGATACTACTTAGCAACCGTTTCGAAGACCACTGACAGTTTCGTCGTTGAAAAGACTTATCATTGCTGACAAAAAAGGTAGAATACGGATCGTCTGCTTCGAACGCATCCCTTCACCTGCTTCTTTTGTGAAGCTTGAAACTTCCAGAATCACGAGCCTTTGCGAAGCTTGTAGTGCCGAGGACTGTCTGCTGCCCTGCTACATGAACTGCTCTCTACTAGAGCAACTCAAGGAGACCGCTCTGTTTCGGCAGCCTTGGGAATAATACTACGGCGATTACTGAAACCAATCAACCTAATCAGCCAACAAATTCACAAGTCGGGTCAGAAGATAAGTTAGAGAGTGGTTGCACTGAGAAAAATCAGTGAGACCAGGAGGAAGAGGTAGGAACGGGAGCACGAGATTTGTGGCAGCTAACTGACGGCGACCCCGCTTTGATTGGCTGAAAGCCTTCGAGGATCCGTGTTACATTCCAGCGACTCCCGTGCGACGTTGCTGATTGGAGGTTACCAGCAGCCGCCACAGGCCTGCTGCTTGCCGAGGTGGTGAGGCGATGTGGCTAGCTCTAGGAATTGACAGGTGTCGGATGGGACCTATGACGTTGTTTACAGCAGAATGGCAGCCACATCAGCATCCTCCCAAAGTACCTGATGACCTGGCACCCTTCGATTTCGAACATTCGGGATAGGCTCGAAGAACTCCAGACAATCTCGCTCGACATTCTTGACATAGGATTTCTGTTCGGAAGAAGTGGCAGGAGAGGCAGACAAATATGTATATCTATAACGCGTATGATTCTCTTGCTCTCCACTTCCTCCCTCCCTCTCTCACCCCTTCAAATCCCTGGCAAGTGTTTGTCGTCACATCAGCTGCCCTTGACTAGATACTTGAAGTTCTAGGTCTAGGCGTCGTCAATACGTGCGACGCGCAGCGAAGCTCCTCGAGAGTTAGCGAAGCGCATACAGGCCGTACTCGTCTTCTCTGTCCCAAGCGTGAATTGCCTGGTTCAATCCGTCGCGACGCAGCTGATCATATTGCATTCGCAGCAGCTCTCGGTTATTTTCCTCCAATGGCGTCCGTCCTCGCGTCGCATTGCGTCGCGCCTGCATCCTGCGTGGTTTCCGGAACAACCCATTGCGGTTCTGACACCCGACCACATTCATTCTTGCAATGCCGAACCCGATCCACGCCTGCCGAGCCTCGCGCGACAGGCTTGGCGTCGTCGCGAACCTGGCTCGTTTCTCGCCAGTTACATTCGCGAAGCTCGACGATTTCTTCGCGGCGAATTTCGAAATTGTGTGGTCAGACACGCGCAACCGTTGATTCTGCATCCGAATCTGCCCCATCCGCAAGCTTCCCTGCCTCCACATCAGCAGCCGCGACGCGAAGGGACCTCCTCGCGACCACCGCCGCAATCTCCGCCGCGTTCTTCGCGCAGCCGCTCCTTCCAGGGCTCGCCGCCGCTGACGAGGCGGCCGTTATTGAAACGAGCGTGATAGTAGGAGAAACTGCAGCACCAGAAGCCGCACAAGCAGCAGCAGCAGCACCGGCGGCAGCGGCACCGGAAGCAGCACCGGCAGCAGCGCCATCACCAGCACCATCAGCATCCCTAGACGCGGGATCCGCGCCTCCTTCGACCCCGAGCAGCAGTAGCAGTAGCACTAGCAGTGGCAGTAGCGGTAGCAATCCCACCACTCCGACAAAGCCTTCCGCGCAGCCTTCCGCGCAGCCTTCCGCTCAGCAGCCCTCTTCCCGTCGACCTGCGAGCGAAGTGCTGGACGTGGCGAGCTGGCAGCGAGTGCGAGGCGACGATTTCGCCGTGCGGTTACCACCCGGTTTCGTCGACGTCACGCCACTTCCAGACGAAGAGGCACTCAACGCGCCCATGTCAACCCTAGGCCTCGAAAACCGGGCAAAGAAAAATCCTCTGCTTGCCCGGTTCGTCTCGGAGGACGAATCAGAAGTCATCACGGTGATCTACCGCCGGGCAGCCGACGTAAAACTTTCGTTCTTTGAACCCAAAGATGTTTCCGATTTTGGTCCGATCGAGGATGTGGCCAATCTCTTCGTGCCACCTGGCTCGCGGGTACTGGCGAAACGCGCGTTTACAGCTACACCCAGACGAACTACACGCACGTATTATCTGTACGAGTTTGTGACTGGAAAGGGGCCGAAGGCGCTGCATGGTGCTATGAGTGTGAGTGTAGCGAGGGGACAGGTGTATCTGATGGCTGCTACTGCTCCTGAGGAGAAGTGGCGACCTGCTGCTGCCAGGTTGAGAGCTGCTGCTGGGGCGTTTTTATTGGTGATTTAAGCAAGTGTGGTTGTATGAGGAGCAGGGGAGACGAGGGGGGCATGTGAGAATAGCGAGGGGCCTGCCAGGTGTATCTGATGGCTGCTGCGACTCCAGAGGAGAAGTGGCGACCTGCTGCTGCCTGGCTGAAACACAATTGAGTATGGAGATTCGGAATGGTGAAGGTTTTAGGGGGAGCCAAGTGTGTTTTGGGGACAAGTAACAAGATCCAGCCGAACAGAATCCTAAAAGGCAGCAGGGTTTAGGCTAACTACATGTGTCTGTATGGGGGGTTTAATGGGGTTCCAAATTCCAAATGCCAGTGTACCTGTAGGGTTCACGTCTTGTCAAGGTTGAGTTTTGCAGTGTTTAGGGTTTAGGCTGCCAGGTTGGGGATCTCAGCGGAGTGGAGGGAGGGAGGCGAGGGACCCACCCACCCTTGATGGAGGTGGTTAGGTTACGGTATTGCAGTGTTGGTATTGGTAACCTATGGAACTGATTTGTGTGAGCATATTCCTGCTGCAGTTCAGTCCAGTGTACACGGTACACTTCTTTTTGCAGAGCACTACAATACAACAGCTACAGTCTGCTGCTGCAAGTGCTGTACCTTATGTCTTCGCATGGAATGAAACTCACTACGAGTCAAACTCTTATGGTACCGTATCATATGACATAGTCCAAGCGCGCAGCGTAGTGTACATTGTGCTATGTATTGATACCGGTACTTGTGGTGCCTGAGTATTTGCAGCAGCAACAAGTTGACTTCTGAGTCGACTCAAGAGTGTACTTGTGCCTGCGAGCTTGCAACAGCAACAGCGGCGAGACATTAATTGCAGCCACGACTGCCACTCCTGCTGCTCGCCGCTGCTGCTACAGCTTCTGATGTGCCTAAGAAACACCTCACTCCTCGAGCTTTGTATCATCCTACTCAGATTCAACGGTGCGGAATTCACGACTGCCACTTGCACTCCTGCTGTTCTTTGCCGCTGCTGCTGCCAGGCTTGCACATTTGCTGCCACAAGAAAGTAATTTTGAGAGTTGAAGGAAAGAAACAAGAAAGCAGAGGGATGCAGCACTGCTTGAGTAAAAGCCTGTGTAGTGTTGGAGTAGGGGGTCAGGCAAATCATAGATTGAATTTTGAGACATCTCAAAAAGCAGCACCACCTGACTAATAGCCGATGTACGGTAATGTTGGAGAAGAGGGTCAGGCGAATGATAGTAGGTGCTGAAGAATGGATGACACAGAACAGACTTGGTATTATCCCCTCACCTGTGTGAGTTAGGCCCTCTCTTCTGTGAAGGAGTTGTCTCCAGTGGACGAGAAGATGTACCCTTCCTGCTCAGTCACACTCGCACTCACACCAGTCGCATGTGCAACTGCTACATTCGCAACAGCCACACTCACCTGTGTGAGTTCGGCCTTCTCTGCTGTGAAGGAGTTGTCTCCAGTGGACGAGAAGATGTACCCTTCCTGCATAAGCACATCCGCAACAGTCACATTTGCAACAGTCAGGTTCGCAACAGTAACATTAGCAACAATTACATTCGTGACAATCACATTTGCACAGTTACACGTGAAAACAGCACAGTCACTCAACAAACCCAAAGCACGTCCACTGTACCCTCTTCAGCTCCACGTGGTAACTGGCGTCGTCATACAGCGGGCCGAGAACAACCTCCTCTGTATTCTCCTCCCCATAATTCTCCCCCATCTCCCTCCTCTGTTCCTCTCCTTTCCTTTTCCCCTCCTCCTCTTCCCTCCTCCCCTCCCCTCCTCTCCTCAACCCTCCAGTCAACCGCCATCCCACCACCTCCCCTGCCTGCCACCCCCCCGCGTCACTTGCTGAGTCAGCAACCACTGACACGTTGACATCTGGCAGCGCGGGAGTGATTCTCGCTGTGAGGAAGACGCCTGGACGGGCATAAACTGGCGGGAGGGGCGGAGGGCACCTGAAGGGCTCGACTCTCACCTGGGGAGAGGGGGGAGGGAGATAACAATGAATTTCCAGGGGGTGGAGAAGGATTTGAAGGGGTGTTATGGGGTTTGAGCTGTGCTGGACTGGTGGGAGGGGCGGAGGGCACCTGAAGGGGTCGACTCTCACCTGGGGCAGAGAAGCAGTAAGGGGATTTCCAAGGGATGGGGAGGGATTTCAAGGGGTGGAATGGGGATTGAGTTGGGCTGTGAGGAAGACGCCTGGGCTGGCATAGACTGGTGGGAGGGGCACCGGGCACCTGAAGGGCAGGACTGTCACCTGGTGGAGATTGTGTGGGGGGCAAAGGGAAGCAGCAAGTGGGGTTGAGTTGGGCTGTGAGGAAGACACGACGGGCATGGACTGGTGGGAGGGGCGGAGGGCACCTTAAGGGTTTGACTCTCACCTGGGGAGAGGGGGGAGGGAGATAACAATGAATTTCCAAGGGGTGAGGCATTTGAAGGGGTGGGATGCTGATTGTGTTGGGCTGTGAGGGGGATGCCTGTGCGGGCATGGACAGGCGGGAGGGGTGGATGGCACCTAAACTGCGCGACTCTCAACTGGATACGTTGAGAAACGTACAGAGACGCAAATAAACGTACAGAAAAAGTCAACAGACGTACATAAAACGTAAAGGACATAGCGGAATGAAAGGGACCTCTATTGCACTCACAGGAACGGCTGCAGGGTAAAACAGGAGCTGCGGGGTTGGTGGGGAGGGAAAGGTGCCCTCTTGGGAGGTTCTCTGTGGGGACTGCTTGTAGCTGTCCTGTGGAGAGCTGGGGTGAGAGGAGGGAGAGGGGGAGAAGAGGCATGGGGCAGAGACATGAGGAATGCGGGATGAGGGACGGAGCATGAGGGACATACAAATACGGAATCAACCACTCAACTCAACTGACTCACTCAATCTCACTCGCGCCCTCACTAATGCACACACTCGCAATCACACTCACTCACACTCTCACTCGCGCACACACTCACCCTGTAGACTCACTCAGGCTCACACTACAATCTCACTCACACTCACCCTATGGACCCACACATCACTCCCCCTATACACTCTCACTCGCGCTCGCATTCTCTCTCCCGGGCTCACATTCTCACCCACACCCACCCTGCAGACAAGATTCGGTCGCCACCCGCTTGCTCCTCCTGCGCTTGCTGCTCCCACCCCTCCTCTAAATCCACCTCCCCTAAATCAACCTCCCCTGAATCCACCTCCCCTGATTCCACTTCTCCTGGTTCGACCTCCCTAGCAGCAGCGGCACCAGCAGCAGCGGCACCAGCAGCAGCAGCAGCAGCATTATCAGCAGTGGACGAGCCTGTGAGAGGCGCGGAAGAAAACCCGGAGTGGTGGAGGGAGAGCAGGAGACTGGCTTGTGGCTCGAGCCAGTAGGACTGCAGAGGGAAAGACAGGGGCGGGAGTGGTAAGGGGAAGCAGTGGAGGGGTGTGTGAGAGGCGCGGATGGGTGAGAGGTGCGGGTGGGTGAGAGGTGCGGGTGGGTGAGAGGTGCGGATGGGTGAGAGGCGCGGATGGGTGAGAGGCGCGGATGGGTGAGAGGCGCAGATGGGTGAGAGGCGCGGATGGCACAGGGAAGGAAGGGAGTACAGGACACGACACACATGATGAGCAGAGGGGGAGCATAGCATGTGGGAGGTGCGGATGGGAAGGCGGAGTGGTGGAGGGGGAGTAAGAGACTGGTGTGTGGCTTGGGCCAATGAGACTGCCAAGGGTGGCACGGCCGGTGGAGAAGGTGGGGATGGATTGAGAAGGGTGCTTGCTATTTGCAGCACCACCAACAGCAGAGTTAGATGGGGTGTGTGGCTCGGGCCAACAAGATTGTAGCATTGCCCAACATTATACTCTTCTCACAGTGTTCAATTCTCACTGTAACGCTCTCACAATATTTCTCTCAGCAGGCTGAATGCTACCTGGAGATAGATAGCTACAGGGTCCTCCTTGGAAGGTGGGCGGCGCCCTGAGAGAGAGCCATATCCTGGCAGCAAATGACTCAGTGTTGAATGACTGTCACTCCCGCCGCCATTCCCACTGATGCGTGCAACGATGGTTGCTTCGAGAGAAAGGTGGGAGAGCGATGGCGGGAGGAGGGATGTGTTGAGGAATTCCGGTGAATGATACACTCCCACCATTCCTCACCGTGCCTCACCTGCTCGTAGATAGCCACAGGGTCCTCTGAGAGAGCCGTAGCTGTCACTCCCACTGATGCGCGCGACAACGGTTGCCTCACCACCCCTCTCCACACCTCATCACCCCTCACCACTGCTCACCGTGCCTCACCTGGTCATAGATAGCTACAGGGTCCTCCCTGGACGGTGGGCGGCGCACTGAGAGAGAGCCGTAGCCCAGTACTAGATGCCCTGGTGATGAATGACTTGCACTCCCGCCGTCATTCCCACTGATGCGCGCAACAATGCTTGCCTCACTACACCACACCAAATGCCTCACCTGCTCATAGATTGCTACAGGGACCTCCCTGGATGGGGAGCGGCGCACTGACAGAGAGCCGTAGCTGTCACTCCCGCCGCCGTTCACCACTGCTAACCACTGCTCACCGTCCCTCAACACGTCTCACCTGCCCATAGACAGCAACAGGGTCCTCCTTGGAAGGTGGACGGCGCCCTGAGAGAGAGCCATATCCTGGCAGCAAATGACTCTGATGAATGACTGTCACTCCCGCCGCCATTCCCACTGATGCGTGCAACGATGGTTGCTTCGAGAGAGAGGTGGGAGAGCGATGGCGGGAGGAGGGACGTGTTGAGGGAGTCAGGTGAATCTATGTTGGAATATACGCGTTTAGTGTATATACGCGTATCGTACATACGCTATCGTGTATGCGCTATACGCTCGCGGTCAGTTTGGACATACGCTTTTTCGGGCAGGGGAAATTTTTTCCCGGGCAGGGTGAAAAAACCGTCGTGCTCAACATCGGGAAGGTATTCCCTATTCTAACTAAGATTTTCGTAGCATTTTCCTAAATCTGAACGGCGATTGGGGTGGGATGTGTAGTAAACATCTTCGCTAGGAGTAGGAAGAATGACCTCTGTTGGAAGCAGGAAAGAAACCTAGAAATGACGAGTGAAGTTGTGCTGGCTGGTAGGTAGCGTGAGTGGGGTTTGTTGGGAGGACAATTGACAGGTTGGAGTTCGTAGATGGGAAGGGTTTCAATGCGGTGCTAATTGGAATTGTAGATCTGAACTGGCAGAAGTGACTGATAACTTTGAAGGCAGATTCCCGCTTCCCTAGACCACCGAAATGCATCGCGACTTCGGCGAAATGCTCACCAGGAGATTCCGCATCTTTCCGTATGGACAATTTTTTTTCCTCGGGCAGCCCAAAAAAAAATTCTGACTGCGTATAGCGTATGAGTAGGCGTATAGCGTTTTGAGTATAAACGCAAGCGTGTAAACGCTAGACGCTTTAGTGTCTGAGCGTATATTCCAACATAGAGGTGAATGATACACTCCCACCGTGCCTCACCTGGTCATAGATTGCCACAGGGTCCTCCTTGGATGGCGGGCGGCGCACTGAGAGAGAGCCGTAGTTGTCACTCCCTCCGCCATTCCCACTGATGCGCGCGTTGATGGCTGCCTCACCATCCCTCACCATCCCTCACCACCCCTCACCACCCCTCACCACCCCTCACCACCCCTCACCACCCCTCACCACCCCTCACCACCCCTCACCACTCCTCACCGTGCCTCACCTGTTCATAAATAGCAACAGGGTTCTCCTTGGACGGTGGGCGGCGCACTGAGAGAGAGCCGTAGCTGTCACTCCCGCCGCCATTCCCACTGATGCGCGCGTTGATGGCTGCCTCACCATCCCTCACCACCCCTCACCACCCCTCACCACCCCTCACCACCCCTCACCACCCCTCACCACTCCTCACCGTGCCTCACCTGTTCATAAATAGCAACAGGGTTCTCCTTGGACGGTGGGCGGCGCACTGAGAGAGAGCCGTAGCTGTCACTCCCGCCGCCATTCCCACTGATGCGCGCGACCGTGGTTGCTTCGAGAGAGAGGTGGGAGAGCGATGGCGGGAGGAGGGACGTGTTGAGGAAGACGGGGCCAGACACACGGTAGGCTGTAGGTGTCAGCAGGATGGGCTGCAGCAGGAAGGGGATAAAGGCAGAGGAAAGGGTAGAGAAAGAGAAAAACAGTGCAAGGGCAGAAAGGGAGGTGTTGAGGAAGACGGGGCCAGAGACTCGGTAGGCCGTGGGTGTCAGGGGGATGGGCTGCAGAGGAAGCACAAAGAGAGAGAGAAGTTTGGCGTGGCCGTGCCAGGTGGAGCTGAGGCGGTCATCCACATAGTTAGGACCTATGTGGCGGCTAATCCGGACGCTTTAGTCCTGCAGGCGGACCTGGCTAATGCCTTCAACAGCGTTGACCGCCTAGCAATAGCGAAAGCCCTAAAGGGCTCACGATTGGAGCCGCTGCTGCCACTGGTTCGCTTCTCATACGGCCAGCCGTCCCTCCTTCACTTGGATGCAGCCTTTGCTCACCCGCCCCTGCACAGTGAAACCGGGGTCCGCCAGGGGGATCCCCTCGGTCCCCTTCTCTTCGCCGCCGCCATGCATCCAGCTCTTAAAGCCGCAGTGGAGGCTCATCCATCCGTCGTCTGCCTAGCCTACGCGGACGACGTCACCTTCCTCGGGGAGCCATCGGCGTGCGTGGCTGCCTTTGAACACTTCACGGGCCACTTGGCGGAAATCGGGCTCCGCCACAACCCAGCGAAGTGCGGGGCTTGGTCCAGCAAGACGACCCCGGACTGCCGCTTACCTGAAGGAGTTCCTCCCAGCAGCGACGGCCTGAAAGTATTGGGCAGTTACATTGGCACAGCACCAGCAACTTCAGATTTCGTACGTACCAGTCTTGCGGGGATGAGCGCGCCGCTGGACCTGATAGAGCGGATGGACCCGCAGCTGGCGGGACTGCTGCTCTCCCGGTGTATCTCTCGCCGGGTGTCTTACCTCGCCCGCACGACATCTCTGCCGTTCCTGCCCAAGGAGGAGTGGTCAAGCTGGGGGCGGCGGCTGCTGGAAACTCTTCTCACGGCGTGCGGGATTAGCCATCCGCGGGGTGACGAGGAGATGGCACGTGCTTGGGCACAAGCATCTCTCCCCGTGTCGCTTGGGGGACTTGGCCTAGCAGATCCCTCGGTCGAAGGGCGTTACAGCTTCCTCGCCAGCTACACGCAGGCGCAGCTGCTGCTCGATTCCCTGGACACTGAATGCATCGGCCCATTGGAGGGCACCCGCGGGCTGATGCGGGGCCCCTACACCCAGGCCTCCCCCCTGACCGAGTGGCTGGCGGAATGTGAAGAGGGGCTGCCCCTGCCGGCAATGGAGGTCCTGCAAACGGAAAGAGCAGCCCCAACAGCGGGGAAGCTGCAGCACGGATTGGCCACCGCTATCCAAGGCCAGCGGTATGCGGTGCAAGTGGAGGAGGTGCAGGGGATGCGGCCGAACCCCAACCACGGCCACACCCAACGGATGCTGTCCCTGTCAGGTTATGGGGCAGGTGATTGGTTAAATGCCGTGCCAATTCACCAATCGCTTCGGCTCGACGCTCCCCATTATGCCAACGCCCTCCGGTTCCGGCTAGGACTCCCCTTTGCTGCTCCGGGAGTGTGCAACTGCACGAAGAAGGTCGAGATCTTGGATCAGCAGCTGCCCAATCACCTGCTGCGGTGCGGTACAGGGGGGGGACGTACCAACACGCACAATGAACTCAGAGACGAGTGCGCGCGAATGGCAAAGGACGCCGGCTTCATGGTGCACATGGAATCGGCCGCCTTCAGCCCCGTGGAAGGGAAGAAGGCTGACCTAGCCCTCCGTGACCGCACTACTAGCGCTGTCTACATCTGCGACGTGACTGTAACGGATCCGATTAGCACACGGGATGAGAATGCAACCAGAGGGCGGAGATGGGCAGCACGGGAAGCTGCGGATAAAAAGCACGGCCTTTACAAGGACCGACCGGAGGGGGTCAAGTTCTTCCCCCTCGCGGTCGAAACGTACGGGTGCCCTTGCCCCGAGACAGTGGACTTCCTGAAGTTACTTGCAGAATCGGCTGCACGGCGGTTTTTCAACGCCGAGCCTACCTCCTACCAAGCTGCCAAGCTCTTACACCAATATCGGCAGCGGTGGTCGGTGGCTCTTCAAAGGGGGCAGTCAGTCGGGTACCAAGAGAAATGCAACATCGCAGCAGCGGTAGAAAACCCGCTGCTTGAGGCGGTAGGAGAGGCCCCGTCACTTGGGGATTGCCTCACGGTCCTGGACCCCACCCTGGAACTCCCCTAGAGGGAGACACGGGGGGGGGGGGGGCTGCGTTGCGAGATGAGTAGGAGGCTTTGATTTGTGACGACTGTTGCGTGCCATACCAATACCTTGCATGTGTGTACCTCACGATTATCAATGAAAGGGCCATTAGAGAAGAACAGAAGCAGACAGGAAGGTGAGGAGGGAGACTGGGCCGGACACGAGGTAGGCCGTGGGTGTCAGGGGGACGGGCTAGAGGAGAAAGAGACGAGAAGTGGAGAGATAGAGGGAAGAATGAGCATAGCATCAGAAAGAGTAGACAGGGAGGTGCTAAGGAAGACTGGCCTGGATAATACACAGTCAACCGTGGGAGTCAGGGCTTACCTTGGGCTGGCGGGTGTGGAAGGAGAAAGAGAGGGCCCCGTAGTAGGCACAGGCGTGTGACATGGCGAGGGTGTATTCCCCTGGGGACTCCACACAGAACTCCTGCTCTCCCGGCTGGAGAAGGGTGGAGAGGAGTGGAGAGGGATGGGGAGGGGTGCAGATGGGTGAAGACGAATGGAGAGGAGTGAAGAGGGGTATGACAGCATGGAAAGAGAGAACATGTGACATGGCGAGGGTGTATTCCCCTGGGGACTCCACACAGAACTCCTGAATGCCAGGCTGAAGAGCGGTGGAGAAGTGTGCAGAGGGGTGGAGAGGAGTGGAGGGGGGTAAGGCAAGTAGAGAAGAGCATGCAACATGGTGAGGGTGTATCCCCTGGGGACTCCACACAGAACTCCTGCACTCCCGGCTGCAGAATGGCAGTGAGCGGTGGAGAGGGGTGAAGATGTTTCGGGAAGGCATGGAGAGGGGTGAAGAGAGGTTTGGCAAGTAAGGAAGGGCATGTGACATGGCGAGGGTGTATTTTCCTGGGGACTCCACACAGAACTCTTGCTCTTTGGGCTGCAGAGGAATGGAGAAGAGTGGAGAGGGGTGGAGAGGAGTGGAGAGGGGTATGGCAAGTAAAGAAGAGCATGTGACAGGGCAGGGGGGTGTATTCCGCTGGGCATTCCACACAGAACTCCTGATGCCAGGCTGGAAAAGGGTGGAGGGTGGTGGAGAGAGGTGGAGAGAGGTGGAGAGGCAAGGCAAAAAAATCAGTGGGAACATAATCTTTGTGAATCTGCCCTCCACCGCTGCCTGCTTTCTATGTGCAAGAGTAGTAGTAGGCACCAAACCGCGCCACACTATGCCACACTACGCCACACTACGCCACACTACACCACTCTATACCACAGTATGAACCAAAGGCTGCACTCACTGAGACAGAGAATCGTCCTCCGTGAATCGCCAAAGTCAGTGGGGTCATAGTCCCCGTGGGTCAACGTGAATCGGTCTAGACACCACACTATATCACACTGCGCCACAGTATACCACACTACGCCACACAATACCACAGTATTACCATACCAATGGCCGCACTCACTGAGACAGAAATCAGTGGGGTCGTAGTCCCCATGAGTCCACGTGAATTGGTGCTCCATTGCCACCCGCCCGCACCACCATGCGCCACCCCTCTCCTCGCACCTCAATACAACATCACGACCTGCTCTTACCGTTGCTGCCCCTCCTCTTACGGAGACAGAGAAGTCAGTGGGGTCATAGTGCCCGTGAGTCAACGTGAACCTGTCTTCCATGGCTGCCGGCATCACCATGCGTCACCTCATCCCTCTCTCTCAACACCTCAATACAACCTCACGGATTGCTCTCACCGACACAGAGAAATGAGTGGGATCGTAGTTGCTGTGAGTCAACGTGAATCGGTCCTCCATTGCTGCCCGCACCTCCATGCTACCATTCTCCCCCTATGGCACCAAACGCTCACTGAGACAGAGAAGTCAGTGGGGTCGTAGTCCCTGCGAGTCAATGTGAATCGGTCCTCCATGGCTGCCCGCACCACCATGCTACCATTCTCCCCCTATGGCACCAAACGCTCACTGAGACAGAGAAGTCAGTGGGGTCGTAGTCCCTGCGAGTCAATGTGAATCGGTCCTCCATGGCTGCCCGCACCTCCATGCTACCGTTCTCCCCCTATGGCACCAAACGCTCACTGAGACAGAGAAGTCAGCGGGGTCGTAGTCCCTGCGAGTCAATGTGAATCGGTCCTCCATGGCTGCCCGCACCTCCATGCTACCATTCTCCCCCTATGGCACCAAACGCTCACTGAGACAGAGAAGTCAGTGGGGTCGTAGTCCCTGCGAGTCAATGTGAATCGGTCCTCCATGGCTGCCCGCACCACCATGCTACCATTCTCCCCCTATGGCACCAAACGCTCACTGAGACAGAGAAGTCAGTGGGGTCGTAGTCCCTGCGAGTCAATGTGAATCGGTCCTCCATGGCTGCCCGCACCTCCATGCTACCATTCTCCCCCTATGGCACCAAACGCTCACTGAGACAGAGAAGTCAGCGGGGTCGTAGTCCCTGCGAGTCAATGTGAATCGGTCCTCCATGGCTGCCCGCACCACCATGCTACCATTCTCCCCCTATGGCACCAAACGCTCACTGAGACAGAGAAGTCAGAGGGGTCGTAGTCCCTGCGAGTCAATGTGAATAGGTCCTCCATGGCTGCCCGCACCACCATGCTACCATTCTCCCCCTATGGCACCAAACGCTCACTGAGACAGAGAAGTCAGTGGGGTCGTAATCCCTGCGAGTCAATGTGAATCGGTCCTCCATGGCTGCCCGCACCTCCATGCTACCATTCTCCCCCTATGGCACCAAACGCTCACTGAGACAGAGAAGTCAGTGGGGTCGTAGTCCCTGCGAGTCAATGTGAATCGGTCCTCCATGGCTGCCCGCACCACCATGCTACCATTCTCCCCCTATGGCACCAAACGCTCACTGAGACAGAGAAGTCAGTGGGGTCGTAGTCCCTGCGAGTCAATGTGAATCGGTCCTCCATGGCTGCCCGCACCTCCATGCTACCATTCTCCCCCTATGGCACCAAACGCTCACTGAGACAGAGAAGTCAGCGGGGTCGTAGTCCCTGCGAGTCAATGTGAATCGGTCCTCCATGGCTGCCCGCACCACCATGCTACCATTCTCCCCCTATGGCACCAAACGCTCACTGAGACAGAGAAGTCAGTGGGGTCGTAGTCCCTGCGAGTCAATGTGAATCGGTCCTCCATGGCTGCCCTGCCCGCACCACCATGCTACCATTCTCCCCCTATGGCACCAAACGCTCACTGAGACAGAGAAGTCAGTGGGGTCGTAGTCCCTGCGAGTCAATGTGAATCGGTCCTCCATGGCTGCCCGCACCACCATGCTACCATTCTCCCCCTATGGCACCAAACGCTCACTGAGACAGGGAAGTCAGTGGGGTCGTAGTCCCTGCGAATCAATGTGAATCGGTCCTCCATGGCTGCCCGCACCTCCATGCGCCATCCCTCTCTCTCAACACCTCAATACAACCTCACGGCTTGCTCTTACCTTGCTGCCCCTGCTCTTACCGAGACAGAGAAATCAGTGGGGTCGTAGTCCCCGTGGGTAAGTGTGAATTTGTCCTCCATGGCTGCCCGCACCACCATGCGCCACCCGCGTTGCGCCAGCTGTACGTTCGTCACGGGCGAATCAAACACTGCCACGTCAGCATGGCCCTCCTCCTCCCAGCACCACTCGTCCTGCTGCAAGGCAGTGGCATTGGGGGGAGCCTTGCGGGCCTGCATGGGGGGGGGGAACAGAAAGAAAATGAAGGATAGGAGAGAGGGAATGGAGGAGGGAGAGGGTTGAAAGTGATAACACTATGACATGCTTCCTCCTCCCAGCACCACTCGCCATGTAGCAAGGCAGTGGCATAAGCGGGAGTTGCATGGGCCAATGGTGGTGCGGGAGGCATGCCCCCCCCCACATGGGGGGCCATGGTGGGAGATAGAGGAGAGTAGAGACGCGAGGAGAAACGAGCAACGCAAATGAAAGAATGGCAAAAGAGGCACACACTCACTTTGAAACTCTTGAGCGTCTTTGAATTACTTTGATTCAATACAAAACAGGCAGGGTCACTCTCCCTTTCTCTCTCTTAAACACTCCTCTTCAATGGTATGGACCACTCACCTCGAGTCGGTATGATCCAGGCAGCAGACGGTCAAAAAAGAACGACCCAACCCTGCCTTTCCTCTCCGCCACCTCTGCTTTGCTCCCCTTCCCCCCACTTCCCCTTCTTTCCTTCCCTCTCCCCTCCTCCTTTCCTCCCGCCCCCCGCTCGCCTCCTACCACCACCACCCGTTGTAAAAACGTGCCCTGCTGCTGCTCTGTCTCTCCATCTGCCCCTTTATCTGCCCCATTGTATGTGAGAGCCCAGAGTGTGACTGTAACGGTGGAGTCACACTCCTGCAGGCACCGCACTTTGCCTGATATGAACAGGTGTGACTGTAAGGGGGGGTGGGGTGAGAGAAGGGAACAGGTGTGCCTAATAGTAGTGACTGTACGATTTGTTACAATACAGATGGATACGAAACGATACGATGTGATACAATACGATACGATTGAATATGGCACGATACGATATGATACGATACAAATAGTAAAAAACAGAGATTTGTCAGTTTGCATACCTGTTCGAAGACTATGTTTGTGACAGGAGCGGATGTGACAGTAACGGATTCCGCTATAGAGGGGGAGAAGACCAGCCCTGCTGCCACCTCATCCGGGCTGATCTCAGGCACCAATTGGTAGCTGCCACGTGGCACCTGGAGGCAGCAGATGAGAGTGGGGGCGGGGGGGAAACAGGAGAAAAGGGTGAGGGGGGCAGAAGGGGAAGGGAGGGGGGAGGGGAGGGGGACGGGGAGGGGGACGGGGAGGGGGAAGGGGGGCGGGAGAGTGAGGACACGAGGATTGGGGAAGCATGGAAGATGTTGTCATGAACCTTGTAAAGTACATTTCTGATGTGCCTCAATATCAATCCTAACCTCCCCACCCCAACCCCCCCTCCCCAAACTGTCAAGACAACAAGCTTTCCCTTGAAATACCCTTCTAAACAGAAATAATTGACCCACTAACTCACCCACTCGCTTATTTTCGCATCACCTAACCCACCATGAAGCAGAATCGGCCATCTTTATCCGCCTCTGCAATCACTCACTCAGTCACTCACTCACTCACTCTATGCTCGCTCCACTCACTCACCTCTCCACTTCCACATCGCCCCACCCACCATGAAGCAGAACCGGCCATCTTTATCCGCCTCTGCAATCACCGGCGCCACACTCCTGCTTCTCACTTCCTGCCTGCTCAACCCCTTGCTGGCGCCACCGCCGCTGCCTCTGCTGCTGTCACTTCCAGAATGTGAGCTGATTTCCCTTGCGCTTGAGCCGATAGCCTCCCAGCTGGCATCCTGAGAGCCATCGATGTGAGACCCATCAAAATCACCGGCTCGGCTTAGCTCAACTCGCCGCCACGGCACAAAGGACGACTCGCCGCTTGCCTCCATCTCCACCCGCCCGCACAGCGCGTACCGGGCGGGCCGGATGGGCGGCAGGGTAATGGCAGTTACCGCTTCTGCTGTTGTTTCACTTGCACCGGTGGTGGTGGTGCTTGTGGTCGTGGCATCAGCAGCAGCAGTGGCGGTGGCAGGAGCAGGAGCGAGGGCAATGTTTGAAAGGGCTGGGAAGACGTAGAGGGGTCTGACTGCTGTTATGGTGTGAGTGGTGGGAGGGGGAGGAGGAGGAGGAGGAGGAGTGGAAGGAGAGGGAGGAGGGATGGGCTCTGCAGAGGAGGGACGGTGGAGGGATGAGAGGAGGGATGTGGGGAGCGTGAAGGAGTAGACACCCTGCAGAGAGAAAAGGGGATGGGTGAGGAGAAGAGGAACGAGGTGAAGTAAGGAGGGGTGAGGAGAAGAGTGATGTGGGGAGCGTGAAGGAGTAGCCACCCTGCAGAGAAGGGAAAGGGTTGAGGAGAGGAGAGGAGGTGAAGAGGACGGGGAAGCAGGGGAGATGGGGGAGAAGAGGAGAGAGGGATAGAGTATTGGCATGATAAGGCGGGTGTGCAGGGAAAAGGAATCAGATGGTTCCAGTAACACCTTGTAACACTCACACTCCCACTGTCACTGTACCACTGTCACACAGAAACACCTTGTAACACTCACTACAGCTTTGCACAAGTATCATGGTCGCATTTGCTACCCTTGTTCTAACCATCCTGAAGCTCACTGTACCGTAGTGTCAATCACAGCCACTGACAGCCCATCCAGCGTCACTGTTGCTCCCTCCACCTCACGGCCCAACCAGGTCTCCACTCACTCCCGCGCCCACAACACCCCCCATCCACCTTTCAAACTCACCTGACCGTCAGTCACAGCCACTGGAATCGCATCCCATCCAGCATCGCTGTCGCTCCCTCCACCCACTTGACAAGTACTTATAGGTACCGCCCTATCAACTCACTCACCTGACCGTCTGTGACAGCCAGTGAAATCCCATCCACCATCACTGTTGCTCCCTCCACAACCTGCCTCTGCGACACTCCCTATAACACCCCTAGCCACAAGCAGCACTAGCATCTCACCTGAGAGTCAGTGACAGCCACTTTAATCCCATCCACCATCACTGTTGCTCCCTCCACAACCTGCCTCTGCGACACTCCCTACAACAACCCTAGCCACAAGCAGCACTAGCATCTCACCTGAGAGTCAGTGACAGCCACTTTAATTCCATCCACCATCACTGTTGCTCCCTGCACAACCTGCCTCTGCGACACTACCTATAACACCCCTAGCCACCAGTAGCCCTAGCAACTCACCTGACCGTCAGTGACAGCCACGGAAATCCAATCCACCATCACTGTTGCTCCGTCCACCCCACGGCCCTCCCCATCCTCTACTCTGCCCCTGCCTGTCACCAAAGCAGTATCCGGCTGGGAAATGGTGGGGTGGAAGAGGGGGGCAGAAGGATGGGTTAGGAACAAAGAGGTGCGGTGGTGTGGTGGAGGTTAGACTCGCGCCGCCCGCACTGTCACCAGCACAGCAGCAGCAAAGTGGCGAGGAGGAATTAGGGCCCCACGGCTCGCACTGCCACCACCACAACACCACACCATCACTGTTGCTCCCTCCACCCCACGGCCCTCCCCGTCCTCCACTCTGCCCCTGCCTGTCACCAAAGCAGTATCCGGCTGAAGAATTGTGCAGGGGAAGAGGGGGAAGAGGGGGAAGAGGGGGAAGAGGGGGAAGAGGGGGAAGAGGGGGAAGAGGGGGGTAGAAGGATGTCGCTCCCTCCATCCCACGGCCCTCCCCGTCCTCCACCCTGCCCCTGCCTGTCACCAAAGCAGTGTCTGGCTGGAGAATTGTGGGGGGAAAGAAGGGGAAACGGGGAAGAGGGGGAAGGGAAAAGGGCAAAGAGGGGGAAAGGGAAAGGGCAAAGAGAGGGAAGGGAAAGGGAGACGAGGGGAAAAACTTGAGAAGCAGCGAGAGCGTAGCTGGCCACATAGAAGAATGGTCCCCCGTCCTTGGAACCCCTACCCACCTCCACCACAGGCACTCTGCTGAGCCAACTGCATGTGGTTGGCTCAGCAGGGGACAGCGAGGGAAAGATCATGTGTGTGCTTGGGCTGTGAGTGGTTGACTCAGCAGGGGAAAGTGAGGGAAAGATCATGTGCGCACCTGGTCGGGAGCAGCAGCAGGTGGAGCGTAGCTGGCCACATAGAAGAGCGCGCCTGCGTCCTTGCTTTCCCATCCCACCTCCACCGGCACTCCTGCGCTTGCATTGCCACGTGTAGTTGACTCAGCAGAGCTGGACGATGCTGAATCGAGTGTGCTTGTAGCGAGGGGCTGGATGGTCCACAGAGGGTGTGTGGCGGACAGCTCATATGCTCCTGTTGCGGGCAGAGGGTGGATGGGTGGGTGGGTGGTCAAGTCACAACGAGAGAACACCTATTGGCATCGGAGATAGTGCTATTAAAGTGCTGTCCACCCCCCCTAGCACGCACTCACCCACGGGGAGGCCGGTGAAGCTGAAAACACCACTGGCGTCTGTAACAGCCGTTGCTGCCACCTGCTGCTCTTGCTGCTCTTGCTGCTGCTGATGATGATGCTGTTGCTAAAACACCCGCACTTTCCTGCGCTACGTACGTCCCACCCAACCCATCCCTCCTTTCCCCCCCCTCTCCGAGAAAGCATGCACTTACCCACTGGAAGACTGGTGAAGCGGAAAACACCACTGGCGTCCGTGACAGCCGTTGCTGCCACCTGCTGCTCGTCTTGGTCTTGCTGCTGCTGTGACACCCCACTCTCTGCACTGTCACTGCCGCAAATGCCGCTACTGCTGCTGCTGCCGCTACTGCTGCTGCTTCCGCTGTTTCCACGAACGGGCTGTAGGGTTACAACGATACCAGCAGGCCCTGTCAGGGGTGCTCCGCCTGCTGAGTCTGCTCCTGTTTCTGCTGAGCCTTTTCTTGCTTCCGTTGCTGCTGGCGAGTGACTGAGTATGCGGCCGGAGAGGCCAAACCTGCTCCAGGAGAAAACAAAAATGTTCTAATGTTATTTCAGGTGAAATCAACATGAAAGCAGTGTGGGGAAAGCATACGTGGTCAAACGTTTCAAGAAATCTGAAAGGACTAATGTGGATGGTTCAACAGACCCACCCGTGAATGTGGAAATCTATGTCGTTGCCCGCATTGCAGGAGATAGCATCGACCACCACCATCTGCATAATGTGATCAAGAGGAAAATGTGATTGAGAGGATGGGAGGATGGGGGGGCAGTGGAGGAAAGACAACTTCTAGTCGACTCAAACGTCACCTCATTGCAGGAGATAGCATCGACCACCAGCATCTGCATGATGTGATTGGGTGGATGCGAGGATGGGGAAGATAGAAAAAAGATGTTGAAGAGATAAGGGGGGAAGAAATTGAGGAGATAAGAGGGGCGGGAATTGAGGAAGAGACTGAGGATCGAAAACACAGGCGAGCACAGAGCGGAATTCACCTTGGGCGGGTGACCCTACAGGCGAGCCATGGGGAAGGGACGGGTGGGGAGGAGGGAGGAGAGCGTGGCTCGCGACCAAAGACAATCGATCAAGGAAGGGAATAAGATGGGATTGAAAGATGCTCACTTTGGGAGAGTCAACAGACCAGCCAGGGGGGGCACGTAGGGCAATGAGGTGACTTTTGAGTCGACTCAAAAGGAGGGGAATAGAATGGGATTGAAAGATGCTCACATTGGGAGAGTCAACAGACCAGCCGGGCAGGGCGCGTAGGGCGATGAGGAAGGTCTCCTGAGCGGGGAGGACGAGGGGGAGGAGGAAAGAGGGGAAGGAGGATGAAATACTTTTGAGTCGACTCGAAAGTTGCCTTAGGCAAGTCAACAGACCAGCCGGGGGGGCGTGTAGGGCGACGACGAAGGTCTCCTGAGCGGGGAGGACGAGGGGGGGGGAGTGTGGAAAGAAAGTAGGGATGGCCACAGAAAACAAGCAGCAATGCATGGAAGGACGAGGGGGGTCAATAGACTAACCCAGGGGGGCACGTAGGGCGAAGAGGAAGGTCCCCTGAGCGGGGAGGAAGAGAGAGGGGGAGTGAGGAAAGCAAGAAAGGATGGCTTCAGAAAACAAGCATCATGGCATGGAAGGCAGGGAGGGAGGGAGGGAGGGAGGGAGGGAGGGAGGGAGGGAGGGAGGGAGGGAGGGAGGGAGGGAGGGAGGGAGGGAGGGAGGGAACAAAGCTGAGGATTCAGAGAAAAACGCACCTGGAGGGAAGGAGGCATGAGGAAGTAGTAGCCATCCTCGTCACAGTGTGTCCTCTCATGCACGAAGCTGCCGTCATGGGACTGTAGCTCGACCTGTACCACATCAAAGATTCATTGTATAAAAATATATTCAAAAACAGAATAAAAAAATCGCTCATCAGGGCGTGTGTGATCAACACCATAGTTTTGCATTCAATAAGGGCACACAAGCCATGATTTACCATGCATGGATGCAGTTGACACACAATTACCGTGATGCGGGTGTAATCAACACAATTTCTTCATGGTAGGGGTGTAACCAAGACAAGACATTCCGATGACACAGGTGTAATCAAGACATTACCATGATACGGGTGTAGTCAAGACAGTACCATGACACGGGTGTAGTCAAGACAGTACCATGACATGGGTGTAATCAATTGCCCCTGAGTTGCTCCCTTGCGGCAGTAGAGATGTCAGATGAGCACTTGGCTGCAATATAGTCACATCAAAGTCAAACCAAAATGACAAAATTCTCAAATCATGGTCACAGACCATCATAATCAAGTAAGCACAATCATATGACAACAGACGTGCCAAACCCTGGCATTCATTGCCAGATGCCATTCATTGCCATGTGTCCCTCATTCACTGTCGTGTATTGCCATGTGCCATTCAGCCATTCATTGCCATGTGTCCCTCATTCACTGTCGTGTATTGCCATGTGCCATTCAGCCATTCATTGCCATGTGTCATTCATTGCCTTGTGTCATACATTGTCATATGTCATTCATTACCATGTGTCATTCATTGCCACGTGTCATTCATGCCACTTTTCATTCATTGCAACGTGTCATCCATTGCCATGTATCATCAAATACCATGCGCCACGGCTTGTTATGTGCCACTCATTGTCATGGGATCACACACAATGGCATGCATGGTGTCAGTCAGGCACCATGGCATGTGTGAGATGTAATGCGCGATTCTTTGCCATGGATGTGTCATCACTCATTGTCATGGATCACACACAATGGCATGCATGCTGTCGCGTCATGCCCTGTGTCAGGTACCATGGCATGTGTGAGATGAGATGTCATGTGTGATTCGACAGCATGCGCCTCACGGTATGACAGCACGCGCCTCACCACACGACAGCACGCGCCTCACAACACGACAGCACGCGCCTCACCACACGACAGCATGTGCCTCACCACGCGCTTCACCACATGACAGCATGTGCCTCACCACACGACAGCACGCGCGTCACCACATGACAGCACGCGCCTCACCACATGACAGCACGCGCCTCACAACACGACAGCACACGCCTCACTTTGACAAACCCGCTGCAGCCCACCAGCACAGCCTCATTCCTCGCTTCCACTCTCATTGCAGCCCCCGTTAGAAGCACAGCCACGCATAGCGACCACAGCGCACGGCACTGGCAACAACATCGCATCAGCTCAAGGCGAAACATGACTGGTGGAGAGAGCCGACGGCCAGGATCCGAGATAAGGCGAGCCAGGATCCGACGACCACGGTGGTTGACGAGGCCTTCGCGATCCCTTTAAAGCCGACTCGATATAGCACGCGGAAGCGATGCTTTGATGAGGTAACCTTGTCGATATCTGAGCTACTTCCTCAAAGCAATGCGCCAACGAATGCCGCAAAATAACAGGTACTTCAGACGACCGTGAGAGGCTCGTCACGGTTCGATGTCACGTAGTATAGATAAAATCCCGTGGCGTGCAGTCGGACTTCGAGCTACTTGTCAAGATTGCAAAGAACAGCACATATTTGCAAGAAGACGGTTCTTTGGTTTGTGCACGGAAACCGAACTTCGATTCATGGCAAACATTTCGAGCATGTTGTTGACTAATGGAATTGTGTGGTGTGTGGATAGCTGGCACGTTATAGGAAGCTACGAATCGGGGCTCTTTGCACATATATCTGGGGACTGTATGTCTGCCACTAGCAGCTCATTGCCACCTAACATAAAAACGGGTGCCTACATTTTTTAACGTGTTGCGCTTTGCAGCACTATTGATATGAATGAGGCAACCTTGCCGATATCTGAGATACTCTCAAAGGATGCATTTGTGTACAATCAAGCACATAATGAATCGCTGTTGCTACAAGAAAGGATGGCATACAAGAAATGGTGTTTAGCACCAAGTAATGAAAATGTTTGGGGATGTGGTGGTTTAGCGCTAGAAGCTTGTCAAGTAAAGCGTCTGAGGTGCCTAGGTGGTAGTACGATCCTCCTGCAATTGCTGCCCGGTTGATGCCCAGCTTAGTCCTGCCAGAATTGAAGGGTGTTTGTTAGCTCTTATGATGACACGTCGCCAGTGTGGAGATGACGACTTCTCCAAAACTGAGTTAACGCACCTTTGACTGGATGTTGTTGGACAGCCAGTCGAGACCCTCATAGAGACCTTCTCCTGAGGTAGCGCAAGTACTCTGGATGTACCTGAAATAAAGGAATGTGGTATGACAGTCAAGCAAGAACTTACGACATTTCTCCGTGGATCAAACAGAATGTCGACCGAAATTTCACGCTTATGATAGACGTACGACCGAATCGAAATCTCCTTGAAATCGGCACTTACCATTGACGCTGGCGCAATGAATGAAGACCAAGCTTATCAGTAATCTCTGCAGCGTTCATGGCATTCGGAAGATCCTGCTTGTTAGCGAACACAAGCAGCACCGCGTCTCGCAATTCGTCCTGGAAAAAAGAGGCAGAGAAAGAGTCAGTACACAAACCAGGTCACCAGCACACTCAAAGAATATTAAGAATCGACAAAAGATAATGCTGACCTCGTTGAGCATTCTGTGCAGCTCATCCCTGGCTTCCATCACACGATCCCTATCGTTGCTGTCGACAACGAAAATCAGACCTTGCGTGTTCTGGAAGTAATGCCTCCAAAGGGGACGGATCTGTACAACGAGACAAAAGACAAAATTAGCCCAATCACTTAACGAACTAACAATTAAAGACATAGTTGCAATTTGTTTATCTTACCTTGTCTTGACCTCCCACATCCCACACAGTGAAGCTGATGTTCTTGTATTCCACAGTTTCGACATTGAAACCTGGATTGGAACGAAGATAAGGTCGCTTAGCAAACTTATAGGTGTCTTAAGCGAGTCTGACAGCAGATCGACGAAGGACTGCAATCATACCAATGGTTGGAATAGTGGTCACGATCTCTCCCAGCTTCAGCTTGTACAAAATGGTCGTTTTACCAGCGGCATCTAGACCGACCATTAGAATACGCATGTCCCGTTTCCCAAAGAATCTCGCGAAGAGCTTCCCAAAGGACAAACCCATGGTGAACTGCTTTAGGAAACGAGAGCTAGAGTGGTAACGGAAATTAGTAAGATGGGAGTAATCTGAGATTCCTAACGAGAGGCCTGCCAGAGAGAATGAGCTATCAGAGGCCTTTTTGGTTCCGGAAACTGAATGGTTGGGTAGCAAAATGAATCCCTTTTCTCTACCAACCAGCTCTCGCACGGTGTTCTCAAGGCCAGACTTTCCCTCGCAAAGGCACGTCGCATGCTTCCCGCATGACTTCGCTTTTCGTCGCATCGGGCTGACCAAACCCAACTTTCCTCGCACGGTGGAGGCCGTCTGACGCGCAACGACTGGAATTCCCCCGCGCGAATCTGCTGCTGCACCGTTCGGGACGCTGACAGGGCTCCTTCGTTGCGGGCGCGTAGGGCACGGTGGAGTCACCGAGATCCCACCGTTGAGTTGATAATATCGAGTGCTCCATGTCAAGATAACTAGGTTGACAAGCCTAGTTCTGTATACAAGAATGATATAGATGGTAAACAAACTGACTAAATAATTTCGCAATATGATTTATGTTTCGAGATTATTTGTTGTAAATAATGGATAATTTTTAGCTTTTTGGACAGTATTAGCAGCAAAAACTTATCACTTGCCTGAGACCTATAGAAAAGTTGTCAGTGCATTTGGGTGTAGTATCTGCATTTTTATTCGCGTTTTTGTGTTTCCTAATGCGAAGTGGGTAGGCTTATTTGGTGCAGGGCGGGTAGAAAAGCCGCCGAAGTGCAGAGGGTGTGGGGGAGGGGTGTGTCCAATACCAAGCACAATGTTACCACAGACAGGATGTTCGCGAGCCATTCAAAATAGAGTGCTGTCGCGAACATCGGTAGAACCGGCGCAGCAGATGGTTCGTGTCCATCTTGATCATTGCGCGCGGTGTGTGTGGCATTCGTAGGCCAATCACCGAGTTCCAGGCCAACATCCCATGTCCAGCAAAAAACCAGCTCTAGGCAAGACGCGTTCCCTTTTCGCCAATCGTGTCGTCGGGTTTTATCTGTGACGAGTCTGCCCACAGCGAGGATTTTGACCTTTCAGGCTCCATCCACTTCTTCCCCTCCTGCTGGAATTCTCGCCTTCCAGCCGACCATCCAATCAACCACCCATCCAACCAGCTCTTGCTTTCTTCAATTTAGGGTGTGTCCCGAAAGTACATTTACATTTCATTCGGTGAAAGTAACCACAACCGAGCTTTTCGCCACTCGTTAACTCTTTCGTCTGGACACGGCACCACGCTGTACAAAAATTACTGACGCATCTCAACTTGGACTGAGTACTGTACAGACATCGAGAGAAAGAGTACCTGAAACAGATAAAACAGGAAGCGAGTGGTTCCAGATTCGAAGCATCTCCCTTGGGCGAACTCGCCCTGCTGTCGCAAATTCCTCTGCGACAGGAATTTTGGTCGGTTGGGAAGGTGGACCTGGTAACAGGCCGAAATTTGGCTGTGCAAGTTGCGAATCTGTAGAACCTCGAGTCCCTGTCAGCTTTTTGGATTTCGGGCTCCGTTCAGAGTGGTGCGTACGTACCTGGAACGTGTGTGTACCGCACTGCTGTACGTGTTGTTTTACGTAAAACCGGGTCCCGAAACTGCTTACAAACTTTCGGGACACGCCCTTATCAATCGTTCCGACAAAACCAGACCTGTCATAGCGTGTATGTGTAGTTGAGGCTTTCTATTTACGCGCCACAGGCTGCTTGCGTCGTTCGGTTTCTTTCTTGTTAGCAGAGGCGCTTCCAGCAGTTTCACGCCACGCCAACGATTGGTTATGAAAAAGCATTACTAGAATGGGAACCCGATGCTTTAGCAAACGGTCGGATGCAGCAGTTCTCTGACGTAGCTATCTCGTACTATGTAGCAACTCTCGGATTCTCGGATGTAGCAAACACCGGAGCCGATGGCGTACCCGAGGTTGACTCGCCCGGAACGGAGGCGGGTGGCACTCCTTGTCGTTTTCCTCGTTCTTGCCGCTTCCACATCCGCGTGGCGTTTCGCTGATCAGATCTGTATCTTTTGTAGCTCGAAACGACCTGGCGCTGTAGTCGCGAAGAGCAGAACCGAAGCGGCTTTCATCGGGGACAGCGCGGATCCTGTTGGTTCCGAAGAATCGAGCAGCAACAGGGGTAGCGGGAATGACGGCGACAGAAGTGGAGAGGAAGGGACGCGGTCACAATCCGAAGGTTCAGGAGCAACATCCAATTATGATGTAAGTCGTCGCGCTTCTTCAATTCCCTTTCCTACGCTTCTCGTTCTCCGCTCCCTCTGCCGCTCCGCATGACCTCCGCCCCTCTCCTACGCTCCCCATTCTCCGCTCTCCCCTTTCATACACTCTGTTTCCAGTTTCCTACGCTCTCCCTCTCCCACGCTTCCCAGACTCCGCTCACGCCTCCTCCGCTCCGCATTCGGCCCCGTACCCCGCTTCGCATTCTCCGCTTCCCCCTCCCCCTACCCCCTGGCATATATGATGATAATTGTGTGATGCCACAGGCCCCACACATCACCTGCCCTGCTGCCCTCCCTGCTGCCCTTGTTGTTGCCTCTTCAGCCCCCACCTTGCTTCTCCACTTGCTCCGTCGCTTCTCCCCTTCTCCAGCCCTCCCTCCCCTCGCTGGCAGTGTGTCTGGTGGGGGGCGCGCGGGACTTAGACGCTACAGGCCCCACCATCATACACCACCTGCTGCCGTCCCTGCTGCCCTTCGATCTCTTCATCCACGCACCGTTGGATGAAAACGCTGCGAAGATCTCAGCCCTTGCTCGCGCACATGCCATGCAAGGAGATCGTGCTACAGCCAGCAGAAGCAGCAGCAGCAGCAGCAGCAGCAGCAGCAGCAGCAGCACGGTTAACCAGGATGGCAGCAGCAGAAGTGACTATAACGAGCAGCAGCAGGGAGCAACTGACAAAATGGCTGGTGCTATAAAGGGAGTGAGGGTGTTTCCTGTTGTACCTGTAGACGCATCACTCTATCCTGGGTCCGTTATTATCCTCCCCTGGGGATCTCCGAACGGGGTTCAGGGGATTCTACAGTATTTCAGGTTGATTGAGGGCTGTTTGCCGCTCATAGAACGTGAGGAAAAGACAAACCGCGCCGGCCAGCAGTACCGGTGGGTGCTGCGCACACGGCTTGATGGTTATTGGTCGGCGCCGGCACCCCCGCTTTCGTCTTTTATCGGCTGGGCGGGGAAGGGGGCGGAGAGGAGGGACGGGGGGGCAGGAGGTGGAGGAGGGGCAGAGGGGAAAGAGGGCGAAAGCATGGGGGAGAGAGCGGCATACATTGTCCCATATGGGTCAAACTGGGGCGGTGTGAATGACCGGTTTGGATTTGGGAGGAGGGAGGAGAGTGTGGTGGCTCTGTCTCGACTGGCTATGCTGGATGAAGTCAACAGATACAGACAGCGGATTGGCGTCACACGGTGAGTGTGCTTTGTTATATGGTAACTAAGTAACACCAAGGGATAACATTCAAGCTGCAGCGAGGTAACATTCAGCTCAAGTCGCGGGACGTAGCAGTGCAGTCAGCCAGCCTTCCCTTCTGTGCGTGTGCTCTCCTGCCGCGCCTTCCGTGGCGCTTGGCCCTTCTCTTCTGCCCTTACCCCCTCCCCATCCCTCCACCTCTGGCAGGCAGATGAACAGCGAGGTGACTTTCAAGCTGCAGCTCAAATCTCGCAACATAGCATTGCAGTGCAGCCGGCCAGCCTGCCCTTCTGCATGCTCTCCTGCCTTGCCTTGCCTCACGCCTCTCTTCTGCCTCTCCGTTCTGCCTGGCCCACCCCTTCCCAGGCAGATGAACAGCGAGGTGACATTCAAGCTGCAACTCAAATCTCGCAACATAGCATTGCAGTGCAGCCGGCCAGCCTGCCTGTGGGTGTAGCACAATATCATTCCCTGCCCCCGCCCCCTCCCCTCACCTCCTCCCTCCCTCCCTTCCCAGGCAGATGAACAGCGAGGTGACGTTCAAGCTGCAGCTCAAATCACGGGATATAGAAACCCAGCCGGCCAGCCTGCCCTTCTGCGTGCTCTCCCACCGGGCCTTCCCTTCCCTGACGCCCGTCCATCCCCCTTTCGTTGGCCTCTCCGTCCCTGGCAGGCAGATGAACAGCGAGATAACCTTTAAACTGCAGCTCAAGTCGCGCGACATAGCAGTGCAGCCGGCCAGCCTGCCATTCTGCGTTCTCTCCCGGAGGGCCTTCCCTGACGCCTGCAGCAGCATCACAGTCAAACCACTCCCTCCTCCCTCCCCTCCTCTCTCTCCCCTGCCATCCCTCGCCCATCCCTGCTTTCCCAGGCAGATGAACAGTGAAGTCACCTTTAAACTGCAGCTCAAGTCGCGAGATATCTCCATTCAACCGGCCAACCTGCCTTTCTGTGTGCTCTCCCGGAGGGCCTTCCCTGACGCCTGCAGCAGCATCACCGTCTCAATTAACGCCTCTGTGCCTCTGAACGGGGCTAAGTGCCAACCCTGCCACCCGTGTGCGCAGGGGAAAGAGGTGAGGCAGTAGTAAGGGGTAACGTAGGGGTGGTAACCATGTTGTTGCCTGCAGCAGCATAACCGTGTCGATCAACGCCTCTGTGCCTCTCAATGGGGCGAAATGCCAACCATGCCATCCGTGTGCGCAGGGGAAAGAGGTGAGAGACAAAGGGTGAGGAGGGGGGAAAGGAGGTAGGATAGGGCAGGGGCGTATCCACCATCAGACAGACACACAGGCGCCTGCAGCAGCATCACCGTCTCTATCAACACGTCTGTTCCTCTCATAGGCGCCAAGTGCTAGCCCTGCCACCCATGCGCTGAGGGCAAGCAGGTGAGGCAGTAGTAACGGGTAACATAAGGCTGGTAACCAGGCAGGTCCCTGCAGCAGCATCACGGTGTCTATCCACACGTCTGTGCCTCTGAATGGGGCCAAGTGCCAGCCATGCCACCCATGCGCTGAGGGCAAGCAGGTGAGGCAGTAGTAACGGGTAACATAAGGCTGGTAACCAGGCAGGTCCCTGCAGCAGCATCACGGTGTCTATCCACACGTCTGTGCCTCTGAATGGGGCCAAGTGCCAGCCATGCCACCCATGTGCGCAGGGCAAGGAGGTGAGACAGAAGGGTTGTGCTGGTAACCAGAGAGACAGGCGCCTGCAGCAGCATCACCGTGTCTATCAACACGTCTGTGCCTCAGGGTAAAGAGGTGAGATGGAGCGAGGAGCAGGGGGCAGGGAGGTAGGGTAGGAGCACATCCGTCACCACTAGACAGAGAGACGCCTGCAGCAGCATCGCAGTGTCTTTGAACACGTCTGTGCCTCTGAACGGGGCGAAATGCCAGCACTGCCAGCCAGCCGCCTGTGTGTTGAGGGAAAAGAGGTGAGATGGAAGGGTGGTCACAAGAGACACGCCTGCAGCAGCATCGCAGTGTGCCTCTGAATGGGGCCTCTCAAAACCTGGTTCGTATGGTTATGTGTGTCACAGTGTTATGGTTATGCTCCATAACCGTTCGTATGGTTATGCTCCATATGGGTGCAGCATCACTGGGTCCATATGCTCCATATGGGTGCAGTGCAGCATCACTGGGTCCATATGCTCCATATGGGTGCAGTGCAGCATCACTGGGTCCATATGCTCCATATGGGTGCAGTGCAGCATCACTGGGTCCATATGCTCCATGCCACGTGTCTCGGCTTACTACCTACCAAGTGGCTTCAGCAGCAGCAGTTAACAAGTGCCTTAGCTGTCTGCATGATTCCTCACTACTTTTCCCATCGACCCCCCCCCTTCCCTCTTCCTACCCACCTCTCTCGTTTTTTTCCTACTCTCACTCCCATTCGATCTCCCTACTGACCCATTCCTCACCCAATCAGGTTGAAGCCATTCTGAATGCCACGTCACCCTCATCTGACAAGTGGCTGGGTCCCGTCCAATCAGGAGTCGCCTTCTGTCCCGGTGGGAAGGGGAGAGGGAAGGGGCAATCGTGGCCGTCGGATTGGGAGGAGATCTACAGACGAACGGCGGGAGATGAGCTGGGGGCGAGGCAGAGGAGGATCAGAAGGAGAGTGGGGGAAATCGACACGTGCACTCGGTTCCTGGAGAAGGTGATTATAGAGAATGTGATAGTGGTGATTGTAGCATTTGTGATGTTAGTGAGTAAAGAGATTTTGTCAGAGTTCTTAAAACAGCAGTGGTTCTAGAATTTATGATATGGATGTGTATAGGGATTGTTATAGAAGGTGGCTGTGCTCCCCTCTCTGTGCTCCCATCCTGCTTGCTTGCTGCTCTGCCCTTCACCCCACTCTGTTACCCCTCTCCACCCCCCGCCGCCCCTCCCCACCTCCCATTACCCCTCCCCACTTCCCATCACCGCTCTGCACCTCAGATGAAAGCGACTGTATAATTGGGATGCCCCTTCGCCTCTTGCCCTCTGCGTCCGCTCTGCTCTTGGTGCTGCCAGCATGCTCTACCTGCCTTCACCCCTCCCCACCTCCCATCATCCCTCTCCACCGCAGATGAAAGCGACGGTATCCCACTGGGACGCCCCTCTCGCACTCTGTGTCCGTTCTGCTCTCGGTGCTCCCAACGTGCTTGCTGCTCTGCCTGCCTTCCACCTCAACCGCTCTCCACCCCCCTCTCCACCTCTCATCACCTCCCCACCGCTTTCCACCACAGATGAAAGAGACGGTATCCAACTGGGACGCCCCGTCCCCACTCGCCCTCTGCACTCGCTCTGCTCTTGGTGTTCCCACCGTGCTTGGCACTCCTCAAGACTCCTTCCCAGTCTTCCCTGCACTGCTCTCCCCCACAAGGTAATCCCACTGCTCTGCTTCCCTCCTTCTAGGTAGGTAAGCCTCCTCTTCTCACCCCGCTCTGCACTCGCTCTGCTCTTGGTGTTCCCACCGTGCTCGGCACTCCTCAAGACTCCTTCCCAGTCTTCCCTGCACTGCTCTCCCGCACAAGGTAATCCCTCTGCTCTGCTGCTCTTGCACGTGTATCGGTGTTACCCTGCTGTGCAAGTAGCTTGAGCCTCTGCGTTTTCCCTTGACTCACAATCTGATCTGCCTCTCCCCCTTCTCCCTCCCTCGTCCCCTCCCGGTCATATCAGCCGCATCCTTCACTTGGAGCATATGGCTCTGCAAGCAGCAACAGTCGCAGCACATGCCGTTAGAGTCTGCATTGAACCTGCGTGGTTCTTTATCACTGCATATTTTTCCCCCATCCCCGTCGCATCAGTCGCATCCTTCACTTGGAATACACGGCGTTGGAATACACGGCGTTGCAATCAGCAATCAGTCTCGTTTCTTGCAATCAGGAGCAATCAGCAATTCTAATCTTCAGTGATCCTGCCTGCCTCGTTTCTTTTGACGGACTCTCATCTCTCTTCTTCTCTCTCCCCTCCTCCCTCTCCGTCGCACCAGTCTCGTCCTTCACTTGGAATACACGGCGTTGCAATCAGGAACAGCGGCAGCACCTATGCAAGAGACTCTGCGCGTTTCCTTTGTCTGACGCTCATCTTTCCCTTCCTGCTTCGTTCCCCCAAAACCTCCCATTAGTCGCGTCCTTCACTTGGAATACATGGCGCTGCAAGCAGCAACAGCAGCACTTGCAAATCGAGTGTTGCTCTCCTTTCCACACCCATCCCCCCGCTCCCCGTTGTATCAGCCGCGTCCTTCACTTGGAATACACGGCGCTACAAGCAGGAACAGTGGCAGGGAAAGGTGCAGCAGGAGGAGCGGCAGTAGGAGCAGAAGGGGGAGCGGAGGGAGAGAAGCAACAGGAAGGCCAATCGTGGGAGGATGCAGTGGAAAGGGCACAGGCGGGGGTGCGGGTGGCTAGAGCGTCGTTTGCTGACCTGCAATTGGCTGCTGACCGGCAGGAGATTGTTCCTGTGTTGAAGGTGAGTGCCTGGCGGGGAAAAGAAAGCTTGGGAGGGGAAACGGCAGAGGGGAAAACAGTGGGAGGAGAATGCAGTGGAGAGCCCCCCTTTCCTCCCTTCCTCCCTTCCTCCCTTCCTCCCTTCCTCCCTTCCTCCCTTCCTCCCTTCCTCCCTTCCTCCCTTCCTCCCTTCCTCCCTTCCTCCCTTCCTCCCTTCCTCCCTTCCTCCCTTCCTCCCTTCCTCCCTTCCTCCCTTCCTCCCTTCCTCCCTTCCTCCCTTCCTCCCTTCCTCCCTTCCTCCCTTCCTCCCTTCTTACCGGCATATCCTCTTCCACCCCTCACACCCCACCCCACCCCATGCCCCCACAGGTCACCGTGCACGGGCCATCACAGCCCGTCGAGCTGCTCAGCTCACTCGCCTCCTTCTCCCTCCCGCCGCTCTGCCTGCTCCTCCTAAGAGCCCCCCCTTGCTCCCCTGAGAGCCTCCGACGCCGCACACAGGGGGAACCGGAAGCCTTGGGAATGCCGCCATGTGCGAAGCTGCTGATTGGCTGGGGGGGTAATGTTGGATTTCAGGCGGAGAGGTGTGAAGTGGAACCGAATTTGAGGTGTACGTTTTATTCTCCCAAGCATTGTGCGACATTGTTGAGAAAGAAGAAACTAAATTCATGAAGGATTTGTGGTTGTTGTGACAATATATCATCTAGTGAAGTGAATTGTCACCCTAAAACAGACAGCAACTAGTCTAGGAAGCAAGAACGCTCAAGGGGGTTTCACTTGAGACTCCATATCTTTATAGAATTTCAAAAGAATCTAGATTTTTAGGTAGGTATGAAGTAAGTTTATTGTAAGGAAGGTACAACTCCTTACTGTACTCGAATTTTAGCGAGTACAACCCGAAGGCCACGCGTCAGCCCAGTTCGGCCTACAACTCCGCCCCGAACCACACCCGAGCCGCCACCGCTCCAATCGCAACGCTTTCCGAGCCATCCTAGCCCGACCCCTTCGCCTAGCTAGGATTCCCCTTATAAATTCTCGTCACTTTCCTTGTATCGTCATTAAGTAGTTCACATTCTCGATATTCGTTTTACTGCGCACTCTGCAAGTTCATTCATAACACCTGGTATCAGAGCTACTTTCCTAGCCTACCCCGCTTCTTAGAGTGTATTACCCCTCGGGAAGGGGGCAAGGAGACGAGGAAGGATGTCTTGGGGTCTAGGAGTCGCGTAGGCTGGCCAGGAGAACGAGTTAGTTGCTCCTCGCGGCTATGTTTTTACGGGTACTCATTTGGCACCGCCAGATCCTTGCCTCGAACGGTCGCGATCGCCATAACCTCCCTCCCCCCCGGCCAACGGACAGCTAGAGCTGTCGCGGCATTGAACGTGAGTTTTTTCCGCTGCGTCGCGACGATTTCGGAGTTATTTTCGTGTGGCAGCTGGCGTTAGCGGACGTGCGTCAACATCTGCACGAAGATTTCGGAGTCGTCGTCTTGTGCGGCAGTTGACGTGGGTCGTCGTCAACTTGCGCGCGACATTTTCGGAGTGTTGCAACTGCTGACAGCGGACGTGCGTCATTGTGGGCGAAATTTTCTAACTATTGTTGAAGAAAAAACAAGGGGCAACTGTACGGACTCGCCAGGCGCTAAAGTAATTGCGTCTGAAAAAAGCTGGTAACGAGAAGAGACGCCACAGGGACTGCCCGACTTATGCGGGAGTTAACTGCCGTCCCGCCCGACCTGTTAAGTGCAGCGGCTTTTACTCCATTGGCGGGCGTGTCACCGACGATTTCGGCAGGAGTGCATGTGGACAGACGGGGTTTTATACCCGCCAACACTTACGGGCAGCAACGGAAAACGAGGTGGCTAAATCGCACTTAAGAAGAAGTGGGGCGCAGTCGGCAAGGGCAATTCGAGACTGTACACCTCGGAAAGACTTCGCACGACACTGCGCACTTGGTGTTGTTGACAACTGTTCAAGATTTTGCGGGAGCGGATTCCCCGTACGGAAGCTGTTTTCGAGGACAGTCTCAGCGGCCCACGGTTAAACGGCGTCCACGTACCATTCCGCCATTTTGGGAGGAGTGTGGTGCAGGATACCGGGACACCGGAGAAGAAACTACCCGACAGCTAAGCGGGGGTTGGAGAACGATAAAGGGAGCAAGTTAATGTCAAACATATATAACATTGATTATATAGGCTGTAGTGGGTTAGACTCTAGAGAGTATAGGGTTGTTACTTGTTTCTCTCATTTTCCATAGTGCATCATCCTCTCGAACTTCACATGGTATAGAGCATGGTTTCCTACCAAGGGCCCACCTTCTGAATTTTTTTTAGCTGCCCGAGGCGCGTTTTGCGCCCTGCCCGGAAATTTCGCGGCCCCCTTAGAGGCCTGCCCCGTTAAGGCCCGTCGCGACCCCCTCTTAGGCCCTTCGCGGCCCCTCTTAAAGGCCCCTTCGCGGCCCCCTCTTAGGCCCTTCGCGGCCCCTCTTAAGGACCCCCTTCGCGGCCCCCTCTTAGGCCCTTCGCGGCCCCCTCTTAGGCCCCTTAGCGGCCCCCCCCCTTAGCGACCCCGTCGCGACCCCCTCGCCACTCCGTCGCGGCCCCGTCGCGACCCCGCCGCGATCCCGTCGCGACCCCGTCGCGGCCCCGTCGCGACCCCGTCGCGATCCCGTCGCGACCCCGTCGCGGCCCCGTCGCGACCCCGTCGCGACCCCCTCGCGACCCCGTCGCGGCCCCGTCGCGACCCCGTCGCGAACCCGTCGCGAACCCGTCGCGGCTCCTTCGCGACCCCGTCGCGACCTCGGCACGGCCCCTTCGCGACCCCGTCGCGGCTCCTCCGCGGCCTCGTCGCGCCCCCCCCCCTTCTCGGCCCTTCGTGGCCCCCTCTTTACGGCCCCTTCGCGGCCTCCTCACGGCCCCTTGCGCCCCCCCCCTTCGCGGCCCCCTGCAGCAGCCTGTAGAGGATTGAGATAAAGACAAAAGAGAATGATTGCACACTAGAATAAGACAAGAGTGAACAGTGGAACTGTAGCATATGTAGATGAGCTTGATAGAAGAGAAGATGATACTTAGAACATGTGACTATAATGAGAAACGTGTGTAAGATGGAATGCTTGATGAGATAAGAACTTATAAGAGAAGAGGAGTGTGAGCTTGTTGAGAGAATAAGAGAAGTGATGAACACTTACTTGAGTGAATCTTACTATGAATAGTTGTAGAAGTGACTTAGGAGAGAAGCTTTGACTTGTGCTTTGCTTGGGAATGACTTCAAGCCTTGGGTTGGATGATGATCCTCCCTTGAGCTTGTAGCTTGTAGCTCCCTTATACTCTTAAGGAGTATGAGGTAGACTACTCTTCACTTGGTAACTACTTTGTAGACTAAGTGAGAGAGAACTTTGTGAGCATAAACTTATATTAAAAAGGGTATAGTACAAGCCTTATAGATCCATGAGGGATACATAGGCATGCATAGAGAGAGTAACCATCAAATAGTAGCCTTGGAAGAGAGTTGCATGAGAGTATCAACTTTGGAGACATAGAAACTTGGTTGCTAGTGAGGAGCCTTTGTAGTAGAAGAGGAGCTTGAAGGAGAAGCTTGGGAAGGAACTTGGAGAGCTTGATGAAGAAGCTTGGATGCATTGTTGTCATTGAAGAAGTTTCTTGAGAAGTTGTAGAGATGCTTGTTGGAGTTGAATAGTAGTAGAGCATGTGGTGGTGGTTGAGCACTTGTTGAGTTGGAGTTGTAGGCCTTGTAGTGTTGGAAGAAGACTTGGTGACTTGTGAAGGGATGAGTGGAGGAGATAGGATAGCTTTGGTGACTTGGTAGGAAAGGTGAGGTAGTAATCATAAGGTCCTTGGGGATGAGGTGGCAACTTTGGTGACTTGGGAAAGAAGGAAGGAAGGAATAAATGAGAGGCATGTGGGAGTTGATGACTAGGAAATGGAGGCATGTGCTTGAAGGCACATGGGAGATGGATAATTGGAGGAAGTAGATGACTTGGGTAATCCTTGATGAGTAGGAAGGGAAAGCACATGGAAAATCATGAGGGGTCATGTGCCTTATGGTGGGGCTTGAAGGTGAATAGGAATTTTGGTTGAAAGCTTGGTTGAGTTGGATTAGGAAATGCTATGGTAGTTGGGAGTAATTAAGGAGGTGGTTGATAGGCTTGAGTTGGAGAGGATGAGTTGAAAAAGGAAGTTTGTAACTTGAGTGGTTGGAATGGGCTTTGGAGGAGTTTGTGTAACTTTAGGAAGGAAGGGAGGAAAGTTACGAGAGTGTTTTGAGGCGGAGGGGTTGGAGTGGTAGATTGGGGTGGCACGTGACGAGCGTGCCATTCACAACACTCCCCCTCACTGCAAGCCCGTAGCCTTAAATCTAGCAGCTGAGACTAACCCGGCCTGAACACGGTTGTTGATAAAGATGTCGCGTGCAACGACCTTGGTGAGGAAATCCGCCGCTTGCTCACTCGTGCGGCAAAACAGGGGCTCAACGACTTTCTGCTCCACAAGCTCTCGAACGTAGTGGTACTGCGTCGCGATGTGCTTGGTCCTTCCATGGAAGACGGGGTTCTTGGAGAGAGCGATCGTCGACGTGTTGTCGATGAAGATTGGAGTGGGGCTCTCTTGTGGGAGGTCAAGCTCCTTCAAAAGACCCCTTATCCACACTGCTTCGCGGGCTCCTTGGGTCGCAGCCATGTACTCTGCCTCCGTGGATGATAAAGCCACGCAGCTCTGCTTCTTTGACTGCCAAGAGATGGCCGCTCCTCCAAGCATGAAGATGTATCCTCCAGTGGACCTGCGGGTGGTGATATCCCCAGCCCAATTTGCATCCGTGAAGCCATACAGCATGCTCGCACCCTCAAACCCTTGAAAGAGGAGACCAAAGGAAGAGGTTGATACCGCAGAGCACGAAGTGCTCCACGTTGATGCATGCGAGTGGGTGATGTCATGCATTGAGAGAGCATGGCAACGGCATGGGCGAGATCGGGACGGGTGCAAATGGAGGCGTACATAAGGCTGCCCACTTGGCTCTGGTAGAGTGAGAGCTCAAGGGGAGTGATGTGGGATGTGGAATGTGGTGCATAGGTGTCATGACCAATGTCCTCAGGAGGCTCAAGGCTCTCGACCTCACCCTCAAGCTCAGTGACCTCTGACTCAACTGTGGAGGGATCAATGCTTTGCTCGTGTGAGCTCAGCGTGAAGTCTGAGGGGAGTGGGGTCTCAAATGGGTTGCAGTCAAGGAGACCAAACCTTGAGAGGACCTTCTCAGTGGACCTCTGCTGTGAGATGAAAAGTGACTTGGTGGTGCAGTCCCTCACGATGTTCATACCAAGGTAGTGTGAGGGCTCACCCATGTCCTTCATGATGAAGTCCTGGGTGAGCATACCTTTGATGCGCGTGAGGAGACTCAGGGATGCTGACACGAGGAGGATGTCATCCACATAGACTAGGAGCCACAAGGACTCCCCCTCACTTGTGCGTAGGACGTACAGTGCAGCATCGAACTGTGACTTGGTGAAACCTTGGGTGAGGAGTGATACCTCAAGGGTGTGGAACCAGACTTGTGGTGCTTGCTTTAGTCCATAGAGGGACTTCAGCAGCTTGCAGACCTTGGTGGTACCATCAGTGTAACCCTCGGGCTGTACCATGTAGATCTCTTCGTCGAGCTTACCATAGAGAAAGGCATTCTTCACATCCATTTGATGGATGTGGAGATCCTTCATTGTGGCCATTACCAAGAGGCACCTGACAGTGGTGTACTTGGCTACAGCAGAGTAGGTCTCTGTGTAGTCCGTGCCTGGCATCTGTGAGAAACCTTTGGCTACCAGGCGTGCCTTGAATCGGTCAAGTGTACCATCTCCCTTCACTTTCACTCGGTATGTCCACTTAACCTTCAGTGCTCTCTTACCAGGAGGGAGTGGTGCAAGGACCCATGTACCTTGTGCGAGGAGGCTGTTAATCTCTTCTCTCTCTGCCTTTAACCACTCTGCTCTCTCAGCGCTTGCCAGTGCTTGCTTGCGAGTGGATGGCTCAGGAGGGAGGCAACTGATGGCGTGACACATGGCGGCTACCTTGCAGTCCATACAGTGAGGTTTGGTGCACTTGGCTGTGACTGGGAAGCATGTACCGACTGCGAGGTTCAGGCGCTGCACTGGTTTGCGTGCTCGCTTGGGGCGCTGTGCGTGCTCAGTGATACCTTCGTGACTTGTGTTACCATCAGGGTCGGTTGGAGGTGCTGAAAGCGTGGTTGTCTCGGGAACATCATTTGGTGGTTGAACAAGTTGAAGCGGCTCGTCTACTGCGACTGGGAGGATGGTTGAGGTTGTCGCAGGAAGTGAAGTAGTGGGTTGAACGTTTGAAGACGGCTCCTTTGGTGTCGACTGCTGCTCGGGTGTTAACTGCTGCTCGGGTGTTGACTGCTGCTCGGGTGTAGACTGCTGCTCGGGTGTTGACTGCTGCTCGGGTTGAAGTGAAGACGGCGCATCAGCAAAGAGCGGGTGAGATGCGTCTTTCGCCTCTTGTTGGCTCTGCTGCAACTCATGGGGAGGCGTTGTGATCTCAGGTACAGGTGTAGGTGCCGTGGTGTCTCCAGCAGGTGCTTTTGGAGAGGGATCTGCCACGGGTGTTGAGACGAGTCCTGCTGGAGTGGGGAGAGCATCTTGGGGAGAAGGAGAAGGAGGGAGGAAAGATAACTTCCATCGAGCAAGGGACATGTCTTCATGGAAGATCACGTCCCTGCTTACAATCTCCTTGGAGAGGAGAGGGTCCCAGAGAATCCATCCCTTGCTCTCTTTGCTCACCCCAAGATGCATGCCCCAGCGTGTCTTGCTCTCAAACTTTCCTCTCTTCTCATCGGGAATGCGGTATTGCGCCATGCACCCGAACACCCGCAACATGGAAACATCGGGCTTCTTCCCATGCCATGCTTCGAATGGGGTGATACCTGACGGAAGAGCCGTGGTTGGGCGACGATTCTTGAGGTGGACGGCGTGGTTCACTGCTTCTCCCCACCATGCATCGTCTAGCTTCATGTGCAAGAGAAGGGATCTTGCAATTTCCTGCAAGGTGCGGTTGAACCTTTCGGCGATGCCGTTCTGCTGAGGGGTGTAGGGGCATGAAAACTCTTGTGCAATGCCAATGGATGAGAGGTGGTTTCGGAAGGACTTACTCATGTATTCTCCCCCTCTGTTCGAGTGTAGAGTCTTGACTTGAAGATCGGTTGTGTTCTTGATGTGCTCGTTCCACACTTTGAATGCTTCAGGAACAAGATCTTTGGACTCAAGAAGAAAGACCCATGCAAAGCGTGTCTTGTGATCGATGAGGGTCATGATGAATCGCTTGCCCGTGCGACTGAGTGTGCGAGCAGGACCAATGATGTCACTATGAACAAGGTCAAGAGGACTTGAAACTTGAACATTGACTGGGGGATGAGGATGATGTGCGTGCTTGGCTTCGACGCATGAAGGGCATGGAGAAAGTGAAGAGGAAGACTCGGGACCTGGTGTGATGCGAAGACCTTCAAGATTTGCATGTGCGGTGATGGACTTTGTGGTTGATGCTCCAGGGTGACCCAAGCGACAATGCCGAATGTAGGGTGTGGTGGCCGTACCTGGGTGAGGCTTTATAGAAGTTGATGCGGCGGCGGTGTAGCCGTGGAGTCGACGATACTCCGGGTTCACGTCGAGCTTGAGGCGGTAGAGGCGACCAACTCGCTCGCCACGTGCAATGAGGACTCCCTGGTAGTGTATCTGCACGGTACCACTTTTGAATGAAAAGATGCAGTCTTTCTCCTCGAGTTGTCCAACCGACAATAGGTTGGCTCCAAGGTTGGGAACGAGGAGGACACCTGAGATGGAGACCGGCTTGCCGGTGAGGTTGAGAAAGGTAAGAATTCCTTCTCCCGCGGTGGGAGTTGACTCCTTGTTGGCGACAGTGACGGACTTCACTCCTGTGGTGGTGAGGGAATGTAAGAGGAAAGAGTTGGGAGCCATGTGTTGGTCGCACCCACTATCGAGGTACCAAAAGTCGGGATCGAACGTCGATGTGGGCGCGGATGAAGTCATAGCAAAGCTTATGCCCTGTGGGGTGCTTTGGGAAGAAGAAGTGGGTGTAGAGTTGGAGGGAGAGACATGGGGTGCTTGAGGTAGCAAAGGCATAAAGCCTTGTGGTGGAGAAGGGTAAAACATATGCATTGGTTGCATGGGGTAATAGGGAAATGGATAAGATTGACTTGGGTAGAATTGGGATGACTGAGGTTGGGGTAAGGGAGATTGTTGGGGCTCATTTTGAGAGCTTACTGCATATGATAGGGCGGCTCGGCCCTTAGCGGTAAGGAGATGAGGAGGAGGGGTCCAATTGGGAGGTTTATGAGGGCACTTAAACCATGGATGTCCCCATTGATGACAAAAATGACAAGTGAAATTGAACTTCCCCGATTGGGGCTTAGCGGGTTGAGAGGGATTAGATGAGAAGTGTTGATTGGGCGTAGAATTTGATGGAGGGAAACGACCAAGGATAGATGGGTTGGAAGGCTTACTTGCTTGTCGTTGATTCTTCCCTTTGTTGTTGTTGTAGTTGTTGTTGTTGTTGTTGCCGTGAGCTTGAGTAGAGACGGCGGCCGACCATGCGGGTTTGTTGTTCTCCTCCTTTGCCTTGGCGAGCTCGCGCGTTTGATGCTCGTTGATGAGGGTGTTGAAGATGAAGTCGCGCGTCTTTTGTTTCTCGGGAAACGCTTGAATCGTGCTCTGCATTTGAATCTACTCCGGTGAAAGCCCCGCAAGGAGAATGGTGATGAAAAGCTCCTCTGGAACGGTGACGTCGATGACGTCGGCATCGTTGAGTAGAATCTCCGCGCGCTCCAAGTACTCGGGAATCGTCTCCTTTTTCTCCATCCGTAGGTTGGAAATCTTGCCCCACATTTCCGCTTTGGTGCTGTCGGTGCGAGGTTGATGAAGCCTTGTGAGCCTCTCCCATGCGCGCTTGGCACTGTCGGGATGACTCGCGCACGTAAGCAACGACTTGGCATATTGATCTTGGACGGAGTTGAGGAGGTAGAGGTAAGCTTCGGCATTCTTCTTTATCCACGCGGTTTGCTCTGTGGGAGGGGCTTCGGAGGTAGGAGGAGAAAGAGAACCAGAGTAAACGGGCCACCACTCTAGGAGAGTGGAGGCCAATTGGAAGCGAATTCGCCACGCTTGGAAGTCCTTTCCATTGAACCGTGGCACTTCTAGCTTGGGGGTTAAAGAAGAGGGAGTAGACATTTGGGTATAGATAGGAAGAGGGAGAGAAGGAGTATTTGATGTTTCTCCGGTGTTTGTGCCGCTTACTTCGAAGGAGCTCGATTCTCCTTGCGAAGTGACACTCTTTGGCTTAGAGCCCTTGGGAGTGGGAGTCATGGAGAGAGGGAATGAAGGTCTTTCTCAATAGGACACTAGCGAAAGCGAGGAGGTAAGTAGCTCTGATACCAGTAGAGGATTGAGATAAAGACAAAAGAGAATGATTGCACACTAGAATAAGACAAGAGTGAACAGTGGAACTGTAGCATATGTAGATGAGCTTGATAGAAGAGAAGATGATACTTAGAACATGTGACTATAATGAGAAACGTGTGTAAGATGGAATGCTTGATGAGATAAGAACTTATAAGAGAAGAGGAGTGTGAGCTTGTTGAGAGAATAAGAGAAGTGATGAACACTTACTTGAGTGAATCTTACTATGAATAGTTGTAGAAGTGACTTAGGAGAGAAGCTTTGACTTGTGCTTTGCTTGGGAATGACTTCAAGCCTTGGGTTGGATGATGATCCTCCCTTGAGCTTGTAGCTTGTAGCTCCCTTATACTCTTAAGGAGTATGAGGTAGACTACTCTTCACTTGGTAACTACTTTGTAGACTAAGTGAGAGAGAACTTTGTGAGCATAAACTTATATTAAAAAGGGTATAGTACAAGCCTTATAGATCCATGAGGGATACATAGGCATGCATAGAGAGAGTAACCATCAAATAGTAGCCTTGGAAGAGAGTTGCATGAGAGTATCAACTTTGGAGACATAGAAACTTGGTTGCTAGTGAGGAGCCTTTGTAGTAGAAGAGGAGCTTGAAGGAGAAGCTTGGGAAGGAACTTGGAGAGCTTGATGAAGAAGCTTGGATGCATTGTTGTCATTGAAGAAGTTTCTTGAGAAGTTGTAGAGATGCTTGTTGGAGTTGAATAGTAGTAGAGCATGTGGTGGTGGTTGAGCACTTGTTGAGTTGGAGTTGTAGGCCTTGTAGTGTTGGAAGAAGACTTGGTGACTTGTGAAGGGATGAGTGGAGGGGATAGGATAGCTTTGGTGACTTGGTAGGAAAGGTGAGGTAGTAATCATAAGGTCCTTGGGGATGAGGTGGCAACTTTGGTGACTTGGGAAAGAAGGAAGGAAGGAATAAATGAGAGGCATGTGGGAGTTGATGACTAGGAAATGGAGGCATGTGCTTGAAGGCATATGGGAGATGGATAATTGGAGGAAGTAGATGACTTGGGTAATCCTTGATGAGTAGGAAGGGAAAGTACATGGAAAATCATGAGGGGTCATGTGCCTTATGGTGGGGCTTGAAGGTGAATAGGAATTTTGGTTGAAAGCTTGGTTGAGTTGGATTAGGAAATGCTATGGTAGTTGGGAGTAATTAAGGAGGTGGTTGATAGGCTTGAGTTGGAGAGGATGAGTTGGAAAAGGAAGTTTGTAACTTGAGTGGTTGGAATGGGCTTTGGAGGAGTTTGTGTAACTTTAGGAAGGAAGGGAGGAAAGTTACGAGAGTGTTTTGAGGCGGAGGGGTTGGAGTGGTAGATTGGGGTAGCACGTGACGAGCGTGCCATTCACAACACAGCCGCCCCTGGCCCCTGGAGCAGCCGCCCCTGCAGCAGCCGCCCCTGGCCCCTGGAGCAGCCGCCCCTGCAGCAGCCGCCCCTGGCCCCTGGAGCAGCCGCCCCTGCAGCAGCCGCCCCTGGCCCCTGGAGCAGCCGCCCCTGCAGCAGCCGCCCCTGGCCCCTGGAGCAGCCGCCCCTGCAGCAGCCGCCCCTGGCCCCTGGAGCAGCCGCCCCTGCAGCAGCCGCCCCTGGCCCCTGGAGCAGCCGCCCCTGCAGCAGCCGCCCCTGGCCCCTGGAGCAGCCGCCCCTGCAGCAGCCGCCCCTGGCCCCTGGAGCAGCCGCCCCTGCAGCAGCCGCCCCTGGCCCCTGGAGCAGCCGCCCCTGCAGCAGCCGCCCCTGGCCCCTGGAGCAGCCGCCCCTGCAGCAGCCGCCCCTGGCCCCTGGAGCAGCCGCCCCTGCAGCAGCCGCCCCTGGCCCCTGGAGCAGCCGCCCCTGCAGCAGCCGCCCCTGGCCCCTGGAGCAGCCGCCCCTGCAGCAGCCGCCCCTGGCCCCTGGAGCAGCCGCCCCTGCAGCAGCCGCCCCTGGTTTTTGGAGCAGCCGCCTCTGGAGCAGCTGCCCCCCCTCCCCCCCCCCCCCCCTGCAGCTGCCGCGGAGTCCTCGCCCTGCAGTGGTGCCGGCGTTGCCATTGCCGCCGTCGTACGCCTGCCCTTCTTGCCACTGGTGAGCACTGTCCTGCCTGTACTGCTGTTACCGCTGCTCCTGCTGCTACTGCTCTTTCTACTACTACTGCTGCTAGTACTGCTACTGCTGCTCCTGCTGCTACTGCTGCTCGTGTTGCTCCTACTGCTCCTGCGCTTTCTACTGCTACTGCTGCTCCTGGCGTGGCCAGATGCAGCTCCAGCGCCGTCCGCGTGAGTCCCTCACGCCCCCACAGCTTCATGAGTGGTACGCTCGTTGGGGTTGTCGGGGTGGCCGTAGTGGGAGTCGTTCTGGCGTGAGTAGTGTCGGGGCTTCTTGTAGTGGCCAGGTGCAGCTGCAGCGTCGTGTGCGCGCGGTCCCTTCGCCCTCGCAGCTTCATGAGTGGTACTTTCAGCGGGGGGGGGTCACGGGGTTCTGCTCGCTGCCCGTACGTCATTCGCACTGGTGCTCGGACTGGCCAGCCTTGCGGGACGTTTGGTCACACAGAGTCCCGCTGCTTCGCCAGTCTGAGCGACGCCTGGCGTACAGAGTTTGGCGACGCGGCTGAGCTCCCCGACTGGGTGGAGCTGCTCCGGCAGAGGGTAGATATCTATGCTCTTGACTATGATGCTATCCTCACTGCCATGTATGCATTGTCTACTAGTGATGCCGGTGACTGTTCCCTGAGTGTTCCGCCCGACCCAGGCGGTGCAGCTGCTGCTCTAGGTGCTAGTGAGTCTGCTGCTCCAGGTGCTAGTGAGTCTGCTGCTCCAGGTGCTGGTGAGTCTGCTCTCTCAGGTACCACGTCTGCTCCGGCGTCGCACACTTTCACCCTTGACTCGGGTGCTTCCCGCTCCTTCTTTCGAGACCGCACCACTCTCACGCCGCTCAGTCGGCCGGTTGCAGTCTCCCTGGCAGACCCCTCTGGGGGTCCTGTTCTTGCCCACTACTCCACTGTACTACCGTGTCCGGCGGTCCCGTCTGGCTCCCTGTCGGGTCTTTACCTCCCCTCGTTCTCTACGAACTTGGTGGCAGGTGCTGACCTACAGGATGGGGGGGTTGACCAGTTCACCCCTGCACGTCAGCGGGTGACCCACTGCACGTGTGCGGACACGGGCCGACACTTGGCCACGTTTACCCGTCGGCCGGGGTCGAGCCTGTACACCCTGACTACCGAGTCTCCTCCGGTTGCTGTGCCTGGTCAGGTAGCTGCGTCGGGTCAGGTGTTTGCTGCAGCGTCTCGGTCTGGTCCTGAGTCTGCCCCCTGCTCGTGTCGCCTCCTGTCCCACGAGACTCTTCTCTGGCACCACCGTCTTGGTCACCCCTCCCTGCCTCGTCTCCGAGGCATGGCCTCTCGTGTCCTGGTCTCTGGTCTCCCCCGGTCGCTCCCTCCCCTCCCTCCGGGGCCTGCCCCTACCTGCGTCCCCTGCGTCGAGGGGCGGCAGCGCGCCGCTCCTCACTCCTCCGAGTTTCCGCCGACAGAGGCTCCGCTGCAGACTCTTCACATGGACGTGTGGGGCCCAGCCCGCGTCCGTGGACAGGGTCACGAGCGCTACTTCCTGCTGGTGGTTGACGACTACTCGCGTTACACCACGGTCTTCCCCTTGCGCCGCAAGGATGAGGTCACTGAGGTGTTGATCGACTGGATCCGCGCGGCTCGTCTCCAGCTCCAGGAGAGTTTCGGCTCGGACTTTCCTGTTCTGCGTCTGCACTCTGACAGAGGTGGAGAGTTTTCCTCCGGCCCTCTGCGAGCCTTCTGTCATGCGAGGGGCATCCGCCAGACGTTCACGCTTCCGGCCTCTCCGCAACAAAATGGGATTGCTGAGCGCCGCATTGGCATGGTCATGGATGTCGCTCGCACGTCCATGATCCATGCGGCTGCTCCCCATTTTCTGTGGCCGTTTGCGGTTCAGTACGCGGCGCGTCAGATCAACCTTCAGCCCCGGGTCTCCATGCCGGACACCTCCCCCACTCTGAGGTGGACGGGGCAGGTTGGCGATGCGTCTGCGTTTTGTGTCTAGGGATCTCGGGCTTTTGTCCGAGACTTGTCTACGGACAAGCTGTCCTCCCGTGCTGTTCCCTGCGTCTTCCTTGGCTTCCCCCCTGACGCACCTGGTTGGCAGTTTTACCACCCCACCTCGCGCCGTGTTCTGTCCTCCCAGGACGTCACGTTTGACGAGTCGGTTCCGTACTACCGTCTCTTCCCCTACCGCGCTGCCCCTCTTCCCCCCCCCGCCGCTCTTCCTTACGCCAGGTCCCCCCCTCAGGGTCCTGCTCCTTCAGGTGTGTCTCAGGTAGACCCCCCCCCCCCTTGGCTGAGCCTTTGGAGGTCACTTCCGACACCTCTGGCCCACCTGAGGGGGGTGACGCTGTTGCTGACGCCCCGGCGGCCTACCGCCGCGCACCACGCTTGGAGACCCCTCCGGGGTTCCCTCCGCGACCTTCTTCACCACCTTTGCAGCCGGTTACTGTTGACTCTGGTGCTGTTGGGGGTGGTGCTCCTGGAGGTGCTGCGTCTGGGGGTGCGGAGTCTGGGGGTGCTGAGTCTGGGGGTGCTGAGCCTGCGCGTGAGGAGACTGGAGGTCCTGCGCCTGGGGGTGCTATGTCTGGGGGTACTGAGCCTATGCGTGCGGAGTCTGGGGGTGCTGAGTCTGGAGGTGAGACGCTTGAGGGTACTGGGACTGCTGGTGCGCGGCCTACTTGGAGTGGCCGCCTTCGTCCGCGTGTGCCTCTCACCACTCAGCAG